GGTGAAAATATTGTTAAAATAGCATGAGCCAGCTTCTTCAAACAGTTTTATGATCGACGACGTGAATTATATCACAGCCGAGAAGGAATTTAAAAAAAAAAATATTTTTTTTATAAAATATTTATTAATTACTACACCATCGGCAGCTCCGCGATGGAGGCCGTTTCTTGCAATTCTGTCGAAATATAATTTTTAATTTAATAGGAAAGTGCTGCATCTTCTGCGAAACTGCACGTGGAAGAATTTTGTAACTGACGGTGCAGCCTAGATCACGAATTTACTGTAAAGCTTATTACACACTATTGTATTAAGATAGGTACATATTATTGGCTACAAATTATTGTCCTGTATACACGTATATAACACCTCCATGCTTAGAGAAGCCATTATCTCACTTGGTGAGAAAATGGTGTATTGGAAGATGTATCAGGAATGCTGACAGCTGCATGCGGGTCACCATGCACTACTTCAGGTGTCTGTTGATCTCGTTGTTGTTTACATTTTATCTTATAAATGATTACCTACGCCAATAATTGTCAATACGACAAATGTCCAAAGTTTGAGAAAAATAAACATTTAAAATTCAACCAATTAAATAATGTTCTAATTATATTATAATTATAATAAAACTAGCTTTTGTCCGCGGCTTCGCTCGTGTTAATTTATCCTCCTTTAGGGGTGGAATTTATCAAACTCCTTTCTTATGGGATGCCTGTGTCATAGTAGCTTTATGCAGGCAAAGTCTCAGCCCGATCGGTTTAAAATTGACAAAGTTTCATATAAACTTTCATCCCCTATTTTATCCCTTTGGGGGTAGAATTAATCAAAATCCAAATTTCAGCCCGATCCGTCCAGTGGTTTGGGCTGTGCGTTGATAGATCACTACGTCACCTTTGAGTTTTATATATATAGATATACAATAATAAATAAAATAAACATAAATAAATATTATATACTTTTTAACCAATAAAAAGAGAAATAAAGTTGCAATGTCCGCATTTGAATAATATTGAATGTACAGCCTGCAACTCGAGCATTACCGACAACTGGTCTCGGAGGTTATTCTAAAATGTTTCCCCTCTGACGAGGGTTTGGTCAGACCGCGTCATGTCAGGCGTCGAAACGTCACTGGACATGACATCTTGATATGTGACTGCTTCATTTGTTTTTCATTCAGTCATTCATCAACAATGTTGCCATGGCTGGTTCATTCAGTTTTCTTCTAAATAACATTCCAAAGACGATTGATATGATATCAGGAAACTTATTTTGAATAATAATAATAATCTCAGTACAATTCACACAGCGCCATCTAGCTTGTGTTATGGGTACTAGACAACTGACACAAATATATAGATTTTTTCGTAAATATATACATATTATACGTGGAAAACACCCAGACCGATACAAACATACTTATGAATACAAATGTTCGTGCCGTACGAGGAATCGAACCCGCGACCATCGAGTAAGGCAATATGGTAGCGCTAGACCACCGTGGCCGTCATATATCGTAAAAATGGATTTTGTGTTGTTGTTGCTTATTTAAGATTTTGTGTGCATTATATTTATATCTGTTTGTACCTCATTTCAAGCGTCTATGAATATTGCTATTTGTTAATTCAACAAGAAATCTTGTAAAAAGATAGTCCAGATAGGAATATGAAAGGACCTCGCGGCCTCAATATCGATATGAATGAGTCGTAGCTCGTGACTAGGGTTGCCAACCATACTTTATATTAACGTATCCTACAAATAAAGTACGCAAAAATACTTTATTTTCAACCTTTACTGTGATGCTTAAAACAAAATACTCATTATAGGTACTTAACGATTTATAATTACTGAACAAAATGTTAGATGTCAATTGTGAGTTATGACATTTGACACAGCTTTAGTGTAAAAACACAGAAACATACGTTTTTAAAGCAATAAAAACATAGAATTTGAAAAATCCTTTTTTTTTCTAATACATGCTTTATTTTTTTCCTATCCAAACCAGATTATACATTTTTTTTGTCATAAAAAGTTGGCAACCCTACTTTCTTGACCTACTTAGGTAGACCGATGATTGGCCGATAGTAAGGCGACTGCACACCGAGTACCGACAAGTATCCGGAAGGGCTTCAATGTGACAGACGAGCCAATGGCAATATCCGGAACGAACCGGGCAAACTATTCCCGCAGTTTGTATGCACATAACACTGCCGATGAATTCGGAATGGCAATTTAATATTCTTTTGTGCTTGGCTACTGCTGACGAGCTATAGTCCGTCATTACAACTCTAGTTCTGAACAGTCTTGATTAATATTAGTTGTGCCCGGAACGTACACGTGTACAATTGTAGACGCCTTTTTTTTATACCACGTACGTGGCAAACAAGCATACGGCCCATCTGATGGTAAACGGTTATGGTATATGGCCTATGGACGCCTGAAACTCCAGGGGTGTCACATGCGTTGCCGACCCTTAAGAAACCTTAATATACCCTTCTAGAAAAACCCCATGCTGCAGTCTCTCGGGAAAACTTCGAAAACCGCCTTTTGTTATGTATTTTACAAACACTTTTTTATATGAAACTAGCTGACAAAACGAATTCCGTTTCGCCGTTTTTTTGAAGTTTAGTTACGCAATAAATTTCTGAACGCATCCTGTTTGTATGGGAACATATAATTGTTGTTTTTACTATAAAATATAGATATATTACATGCAATTTCTTCATATTTTATCACAGTCTAATCCTTCCCTGGACTTCCACGAATATTTCAAGACTAACATTAGCCAAATCGGTTCAGCCGTTCTCAAGTTATAGGGAGATTAACGAACAGCAATGTGTAATGTCTTATTTCTAGTTTAATTTGTGAAAACCAGCCAGTGTCAGTGGTTTAGTGTGTTGTGTATATTGATTCAATATGTATATAGTTAGCCTTGGTTTTCGTTTAATATATAAATTAAAAAAAAAAAGATATAAAACTAGAATAATTGTAGTTCTAAATGTGCTAGAATAATATTCGAATAGACGTTATCGGAATATGTGCAGGCTCTTCAAAATGTAATCCCTCAGGAATCGCGTCACTATATTAACTGCTGGAAACAGATACGTCTGGCTCAGTCTAACTACACTACTCGTTTTCCCAATCTAGTCAGTCCGCGCTTGAAATCAACGTGTATTTTCTTAAAGCTATTTCTGCTTAACCGGTTCGATGAATTTACAGAGTAGGGACGTTTTTATTATGTAACTGTATTGGTATTCTGTACGTATTTTATCAACTCATGTCACTCATCACATCACTCAAGCTGGAACTGTATATTTGACACTGGTGTATCACTTGTCAAATATAAAGTTCCAACTGAGCTATTCAGTTTGGCTATATTTCTAATAAAATCACTAGTGCCTGTTTTACCTCCATCCCGCTCTCGAGCGTGTGGCGCTGCAGTCTGCAACTTTATATTTGAGAAGTGATACACCCATATCACTTCTGAAATATAAAGTTCCAACTGAGCTATTGAGTTTGGCTATATTTCTAATAAAATCACTAGTGCCTGTTTTACCTCCATCCCGCTCTCGAGCGTGTGGCGCTGCAGTCGCTATTGAGTTGCAGAATATCGATATACAATCTCGCCGCGGATTCAGCTTTCAAATTCGTAAGTGATGCTTACAGAATAGCTCTACTCGACAGGAGAACAAACTGACAGGTTATTTGATGTATGTTGCGGCTAAGTGATACTATGTTTGGTAGTCGAGACGATGTATATTACAGATGATAATGGACTGCTATATGTACATAGAAATATTGATCTGTTTAGACACAGCAGTGCTTAGTAGACAATATTGAATTTGTCTTACTAGGCATTATTAAATGCAATTATTATTTTGATGTATCTAGGTGACTGTGTCCCATAATGTACATGTACATGTACATCACATATTTCTTTCTTTCCTTCTTATATGATGGCCATGTATAGTCATTTCACAAGATTATGTATCCTGAACCTGACATGGGAAGGAAATCGTATTCTTGTTGTAACTGACTAATCAAAAATATGTTTTATATATTTGTTTATAACTCTGTTCTCTTACGATTTGTTCTGACTTCGGTTCTTGATAATTTACTAGTGTAGTGTAGTACTTAATCTGTGATTTTAAAATAATGGTTTCAAATATGAATAATATATAGTCGTATTAATAATAATTATAAAAAAATCATCATAATATGCTCGAATTTCGACCATTTTGCGACCACTAGTTTTTATAATTCTTATAGAATATAACGTAATGTGATATCTTGAGTTGAGTACTAATACGTACAGATCAGACTTTTATGACTTTAAACATGCATACGGTTCACCTGATGCTAAAGTTACCGTAGCTTATGGACGCCTGAAACATCAGGGGTGCACTTGTGGAATGCCGACTTTTATTTATTTATTTATTTGCATACAAAACAGATTGCAATCAATATAATAATATAATTATGAGCGTGTAGTTCGGTATAAAACTGGATTCTAATCCAACATTATGTATGCCTAAAAGCTAAATTATATAGATATATATTCAATATACGCTAGATAGCTAGATAAGGATATATAATGAAAAGTAAACTAAATATAAAATAATATATAACTACGTAATGCAATGAATTATCATGTTAACAGAATTTTATTTATATTAAAGAAAAGAAAATTGGTACAATGTTAAATATAATTTGTCTCTTTACGGTGGAAATTTAATTGTCTCCGGAACTGGACCAGTGTTGAATGGAAAATATCTATATTTCTATTCGAGATAAGAATTTCATTGTATTGGCGACACATTCGAACTATTGGATTATAATATGAAGTATTATTTGAGTAAACCTGAAGATAGAAGGTATTTTTATGATATGAATGAAATTTAGAATATAAATAGATCATTTCCAAATTTAAAATAGAGAATAATAAATACTACCCGAATTCACGGATAAAACTGCAGTTAGTAAAAGATAATATTCTTCTCCAGGGTATATTCCGGTTGGCCTGCGAACATGTGCTGCGTACGATGCGCAGAGGCCGAGAAACATTGCTGACGTTACTGGAAGCCTTCGTGTACGATCCCCTGGTGGAGTGGGGAGCGGCGGGGGTGAGCTCCGGATCCAGTGGGGTGAAACGCAGGCGCACGCAACGCGATATACGTGCCGCTGTTGATATGCTGGCTGTACGCGCGCAAGAACTCAAACATCAAATTGCAGAGTTGAAGTAAGTGTATACAGTATTTCGTCCCCTCCAATCGATTCCCGGTCCAATTCAAACGGGGATCGAAATTACGATGGCCTGAGCCGAGGTCCGAACCCCTAGCGGAGCCCTCAGACTAAAATCATATCCGTCAGGCGGGAGTTAGCTTTCAACCGCCCCATAAATCCTTCCGCGGCTTTGGAGTGTCATCGACACTCGACCCCTATCATCCGGTAGAAGCTGTAAAGCCAGCTTTTAGAGTAGTCCGAAAATAAAAGTATTTCATTTAACACCAGCTACCCTAATTCAGCAAGCGCTGAATTGGGTTACTGGTATTAAATTTAGCAGCGAACTGTACAGTGTTTTCCATTTTATTCTTACACCTAGTACCAAATACAAATATTAGGTTTTATGAACGCTAAAGTCTCGTATTACGTCATTATTTCAATATGTATGCATATAAATTATTGTGCAAAATGGATTTTATTTTGGGCGCAAAATGTAATAACTTATACATAATTTATGCTGCTAATATGAGAGATTATAATTGTTAATGCCTCTCTAAAAGCCACTACGAATTAACACGGCGTACTTCCTGTTTAAGCGCTCTGAATTATTGAACACATAAATTATTCATGTAGTGGCCGCAATAACGTTTGTCATTATTTGTTTTAGCTCGCAATTTTTGGCCATACTCCCAGAGGTGAAAGAAAGTGCCGAGAATTGGCTGAAGGAGCACGACGAACTCGAATCACTGGAAACTAAGTTGCAGGAATGTCACCAACAGATTGCATTAATCAAAGAGATAGAGGCCTGCGGACCAAACTTAAGTAATCATCCACTATATGCCATCTCTCAGAAATATACCTCGTACAAAAAAGCTAAAAATGCCGTCGAAGATTCGATGAAAGCTCTCGTGAAAATACTCAAAGATTTCGATACTCAAATAGAAATATTCGCTAAGACCAATGAAGCGATAAACGGGCCGCAATTGATGATATGGGTTCAAGAATTTTCTGGTACCAATGAAGATGACGATAAACCGATATTTGACCACATCAAAGAATTCTTGGCAAATGCTGGTCAAAGTTCCATGATTTCACAATGTGAACAAGCCGAAATCGAACTTAACCAGAGCATTGACCAAACGAATCACCTCGTCAGATCCTGCCTAGAACTTCTGTCACAATACGTCGCAGTTTCACAGTACTACCCTAAAAGCCAAACGGAATACCACCGAGTAGTAATGTTCAGAAAGTTTTTGGCCACAGCTTTAGAAAGCAAATCGCCTGAAGTTTGCAGGGAGGTTTCCAAACAAGTCAATGAATTACTAGAGGACTCTAATAACACAGACGCTACACAAATCTCCGCTTATAATTACCGCCTGCAAACGATATATGATGAAGCTAATGAAAACCTTAAAAAAGCAATAGAGATCTTGCAACTAGAGGGTGGACCTGATGCACTTGTATTAGCACAAGAAGCTTATATGGAAGCGAAAAACAATATCAGTAACTGGGTAAGAACTGAAGATGGATCCGCCACTGCATTAGAGTGTGTGGTTATTGGCATGTTGTGCAATTTGAACAGAAGGTATTTGATGTTAGAAAATGGAGCACAAAGTGCGGGAGACTGCCTTGTTGATTTGACTTCCAGAGAGGGAGAGTGGTTTCTGGATGACATGAGTGCACTTTCGATGCAATCAGTGGAGCTGCTTTCGTTACTGCCGTTACAGTCAGCGTCCGCCGAGGATACTTCTTTGCCGATTGCCGTGGAATGTGTTCGCAACGCTAACCTTCTGCTAGCAGACTTGGTACAACTGAATTATAACTTCAGCACTATTATTTTACCTGAAGCACTGAAAAAGGTGCACTCCGAAGAACCGTCGGCACTGTTAATGATTAATGAACTTAAAACAGTAATAATGAACACTCCTGTTTCTCTAAATGATTTACTAGCAGAATTGGAGATGCATTTAAGATATCTCGTAATGGATATGGAGGTAAGTTTGTTCCCATTTTACGGTAAATGATGGAAAAAGTTCCTAACAATTAGAAACAAACATAACAACATTTATTTAAAAGTACAATACCTAATTTTCCTTCTCATTTTTCTTTCGATGAGTCCGCTTTACGAATGATTAAGAATAAACAAATATGACTATTCAAAAGAGATTGATTATATTAAATTTATTTTGAATAAAGATTATTTCTATTTCAATGTTTCTAATACTTATTTAACATTAACAAAATTATTATGTGGGGAGATTTACAGTAGAGCCGTATACTGCTGCAAGCACCCCAAGCAAAAATTATTTTGCACAAAACAGGATAAGATAATAAGGAATGAATTTTTTTAGTCTCCAGCTAGTATGGCTCAAGTGGTGGCTGCAGAGCTTCGTTCTCGCTATGAGCTCCTACTCTCCGCGACCACTCCTGACGGCGATGGCCAGTCTGCGGGCCGCATGTTGCTGATGGGTTTCAATGGACTTTTCGCGGCTGTTGAATTAAGGGCAAGAGAATTGGCCGATCACATCGCAGTGCCAACTCCACCAGCTTGGAGGAAGATAGATCATATAAATGAAGCCATGCATATGTCGGTAAGTTTAATAAGTATGTTTGTTTATGTTAGTATTATTTGATTTGCGATTTCGCCTTTAGGAGTGTGACTGACCGGGGTCAAAAGTAGGAACTTCCTTCTCCATTTGAAATACTACGTGGTATGCCAAATTTCATATTGTAAAACAATATATTCATCGACAAAAAAAATACCATTATACTCGTGAACGGGTGCTGCTTGTAGGGACTGGTCTGCTCTAATCACTACGACTGATTTCCTCTTATTAATTGTTTAACCAGTTGTTGTGTAATCAATAGTTCTTCTATTTGATTATTTAATTGAATTAGTGCTAATCAGTAGTTTGTATTCACACACTTAAACTTAAATTGTAAAATAAGAATAAAATTATTTAAAAGAGCAACATACAAGTTTCTTGCTCGTTCTTCTTGTGATGAGACAGCTTTCCGAATGAGCGGTAGATAAAAAAAACTTTGATGACTATTCAAAAGTGCTTCAATGTAAGTTTATTTGAATAAATGATTTTCTATTCTATTCTATTTACTCATTTAGAATTTGATACTATAATATGTACAAAGGTAGCCTGATAAGGAATCAATGTACTTAATAAAAAGTGAGTATTTCATTTACATGTAATTCTAAAAATAACTTCTTTAAAGAACAGATTTTCTAATGTAAAACTTCGATATTACTTACCTTATTTTAATTTCATCGAGTTTAATATTAATACATAAATATATATTGCATTTTATCTGGAGAGCCGGGACTGACACTCCTAAACATATTTAGGCCAGTTGCCTAAATATTTTTTATTTTATATATTTTTATATTAGATTTTACTTTAAAACAATTATAACTATACTAACCATTCTTGAAAAAAAGAGGTTACTTTAGAAAAAAATCATAGTAACACGTTTTGTGTGGAGAGAGGTCGTGCCATGCAGCCTTAAAGAGAAAACTGGCCATCAAGTAAACGCTTAAATGATGACAATGTTTGCATTGATCTTTTAACCTGCTCTTCAAAGTCCTATGATCCGTTCTGTTCTGCAAGACACATGTCTAGTGCGAAACGTCTGCAGGATGACGATGTTTGTGTTGATCTTTCAGGCTGCTCTTCAAAGTCCAGTGATCCGTTCAGTCCTGGAAGACATATTTCTGGTGCGGCGCATCCAAATAATCGACGAGGTTTTCACAATGTGCCGCAACATGGCGCTAGCGTTCAATGGTGTCGGTGCGCGTACGCTGAGCGACGACGCCGCACTGTGCAAACCTGTAAAAAGGTTCGTTACGTTTCTGTCATTTGGTTTTCTCATTAGCTGACTTTCATTACCGACATATTCCTTCACGCAATCTGGAGCGCTCTCTTTTTAGCCTTGGGGCCGTTCAAGTATTACGTAAGCAGATTAATCACAATTATTTACCCCCCACCCCCTTTGTCAGCAAAAATATGCAAAGCTTTCCCCCTCCCTCCATACTTAAGTCAACATTTTCCAATTAATATATTGTTTTTTAGCAAAGACAATGTGAGAGTTGCCATTTGTGTAAAAAATAAATAATTACCGATTACGTGCTTACGTAATACTTGAACGGCCCCTTTTGACCGTCTAGGTATGTATTATATATTTTGGTAATGGTAATTGGAGGACGATAAGATGAGCATGAGGTCAAGTGAATTAGCCCATCGTGACAAATTTACCGGGAATTTATCAGGATGGTTTCCAGGGGGAACCCAGCGCGGAGCTCAAGCAATGGCTTTATTATTCCACAATATTATTATTAATATTCCCCCGTTGTTAGTCTTATAAGTAGAAATTGCTCAGTGATCAATGTGTGTGGTATTGTCAGGTTCACCGCGGAATACGTGCTGCGGTGCGTGGTGGGCGTGCATTCGAAGGCGCTCGCGTGCGTACTGTGCGGCCTGCTGCGACGGGCTCGACTCGATCTGCACGCAGAGGTCGAACAGAAGGAGATCGGTATGATATATATTTAATGGCAATTTTATAATTATAATCCTCACACGGCATCATCTTCTCCTAATATAACAGAGCTTGTGTTATGGATACTATACAATTGATGTAAATACTTAGATAAAGTTTTTTGTAAATAGTAATAATAATATAATAATATTTCAGGACAATTCCCACAGCGCCATCTAGTCCCAAGTTAAGCAGAGGTTGTGTTGTGTTATGGGTACTAGACAACTGATATAAATAAATGGATACGTTTTTTTTTTGTAAATAAATACATATTATACATAGAAAACACCCAGACCGATATATACAGAAATAATCATGAATACAAATGTTTGTACCGTGCGAGGAATCGAACCCACGACCATCGGATAGTAAAGCGGTGTGCTAAACCACTAGACCACCGAGGTTGTCAAATTTGTTTTTGTAAATAGTCTTCGTACCATGCGAAAATTGATTCTCGCATGGTACGATCGTCGAAAGTAAAGCTGTTTGCGATACCGCTAGACCACTTAGGTTTTTAATTGTGTGTTTATGAATGTTTTAGTTTATTATTACAGTCAAACCATCCAGAATTTTCTAATTTATTTTTATGAGTGAACGATCAAACGAGCCGGACCACTCACACTGTGTCATCCGTACCCGACTCCTCAGCTCGTGCTATTCTAATAAGAAACGGAGATTAATACGTTTAAACACAGTTTATATTATATTTTATTACAATTAGTAATGAAGTGAGGAATATAAGCTAAGTATAGTACGCGTTGGAGTGTATCGCTGGTGCGCAGGTGCGTCGTGGAGCGTGTCGCTGGAGTCGCTGTGCGAGAAGGCGCGGTCGTCGCGGCTGCGGGCCGGGCTGCGGGCCGAGCGCGTGGAGCGCGGCGCCGCCCTGGCCGCCGCCCTGCAGGCCGCGCGCGCCCGCCTCGAGCGCGCCGCACGCGCCGCCAGGGGCCACGCGCGCGCCGCCGCCGCCGCGCACACCGCCCGCCACCGCGCCGCCGCGCACGCGCTGCTGCACGCGCAGGTGACGTACCGCGGGAGGCGAGCGCGGGTGACGTGCCTGGGGAGGCGAGCGCGCGGGTGACGTGCCGCGGGAGACACGCGCGGGTAACATGTTGCGGGAGGCGAGCGCAGGTAACGTGCCGCGGGAGACGAGCGTGGGTGACGTGCTGCGGGAGGCGAGCGCAGGTAACGTGCCGCGGAAGACGAGCGTGGGTGACGTGCTGCGGGAGGCGAGCGCAGGTAACGTGCCGCGGGAGACGAGCGTGGGTGACGTGCTGCGGGAGACGAGCGCAGGTAACGTGCCGCGGGAGACGAGCGTGGGTGACGTGCTGCAAGTGACGCGCGCAGGTGACGTGCTGCAGGAAACACGCGCAGGTGACTTGTTGCAAGAGACGCGCGCAGGTAACGTGCCGTGGGAGACGAGCGCAGGTAACATGTTGCGGGAGACGAGCGTGGGTGACGTGCTGCGGGAGACGCGTGCAAATGACGTGCTGCAAGAGACGTGCGCAAGTGACGTGCCGCGGGGGACTGGTAGCTGCCGTATGATCAAATTACCGCGTACTTACGCAAGCAGGTAGCATGTGGGTGCAAACTGTTATAGTCCACCGCGACGCGTTGAGTACTTACGTTCAACTCGAGCACTATTACTTGGATCTTTATACTACTTTGTTATCTAATTATTATTAGTTATAGTCGAATCAAATAACTAGGTACACACCTACGTATTAATCGAAATGGTCCTTCGAGTCGGATGTTTTCCGATATGACTGTTACTTATTTCTGTATGATTTTAATTTAGTAACATTAGTATAATGTGACGGTTGTGCTGACGTCTGTGTCGTCCTGGTGTCCGCAGGTGGTGGGCGCCGGTGGCGGGGACGCGGCGCTGCTGTGGCGCTGCGCGCGCGACCTGTCGGCCGCCGCCGACCGCCTCGCGGCCGCCCGCGCGCGCGCTCGCGCACTCGTCGCCGCCGCGCTGCAGAGGTACGTGCGAACTAACGTTGCTTCTCCTTACTTATTGGGATATTTAAAATTCTTTGAACACTAGTTGAACCGCAATCTTTTTCCGCGTTGCTGCTTCATTGTTATTCTCTGCTTAAGATATTCTTAGTTAATACTTTTTATAATATTGATATAGAAATATTTAGTCTTTCATTGTCGTATTTGCATATCTAATACGAGTCGTACAAGTACGTCGTCTTATCTTTAATATAATTTTTATTACAGAGTGAAGTGGGGAGCTGGCGCCAACCCGGCGCTACGCGAGGTAGAGCGCGCGCTGGAGTCGGCGTGGACGTCGCGCAACGCGCGCGCGGACGCGCTCGAGCACGCCGCGCACGCGCTCGCCGGGCACGCGCGCGCCGCCGCCCCGCAGCGAGCGCGCACGCGCACCGCGCGCCCCGCCTCCACCGCGCGCGGCGCGCTGCAGCACTGGGAGAAGGTACGTACTCACGCGCTGGGAGAGGTACGTACTCACGCGCTCGCCGGGCACGCGCGCGCCGCCGCCCCGCAGCGAGCGCGCACGCGCACCGCGCGCCCCGCCTCCACCGCGCGCGGCGCGCTGCAGCACTGGGAGAAGGTACGTACTCACGCGCTGGGAGAGGTACGTACTCACGCGCTCGCCGGGCACGCGCGCGCGGCCGACCCGAAGCGAGCGCGCACGCGCACCGCGCGCCCCGCCTCCACCGCGCGCGGCGCGCTGCAGCACTGGGAGAAGGTACGTACTCACGCGCTGGGAGAGGTACGTACTCACGCGCTCGCCGGGCACGCGCGCGCCGCCGCCCCGCAGCGAGCGCGCACGCGCACCGCGCGCCCCGCCTCCACCGCGCGCGGCGCGCTGCAGCACTGGGAGAAGGTACGTACTCACGCGCTGGGAGAGGTACGTACTCACGCGCTCGCCGGGCACGCGCGCGCCGCCGCCCCGCAGCGAGCGCGCACGCGCACCGCGCGCCCCGCCTCCACCGCGCGCGGCGCGCTGCAGCACTGGGAGAAGGTACGTACTCACGCGCTGGGAGAGGTACGTACTCACGCGCTGGGAGAGGTACGTACGTACGTACGTATCAAATAATGTTTATACATTATTTGATATTTTTAAGCATTAACTTGTTTACGAATGAATAGAATATATACTTTAATACCATAAAGTAAATGTATACATTGTAATGGTTTGCAGGCGTGTACACTGGCTCAGAAGTATTCTCTGGACGTGTCGCCGGTGGAGGAGTCGTTGATGGAGATGTTACACCCGGAAGGAAATATCGATACACAATGGGTGAGTGTTTATATTCTAAAATGAATTTATTCTGTCGCATTTTACTCGTATGAAGATTAAGAAAATTCTGATTACCAATGTCGTTTCGGCTGAAAATTTCAAAAAAATATTGAGATAGTTGTATTGCCAAACCTAGTGAACGTCAGCTGTGATTATAAGAGTGGGTCGAAGTTTAGGCTTTACGATACAATATAAACTTACGGTTTTAGAATTATTAGATCGAAAGCAAACGATCGACGAAATCAGGCTCCGGCTCGGAGAGTATGAGGTGCACGTTTGTGGTCACCAGGTGGAGAGCGTGGCGGCGCTGGCGCGGGAGACGGCCGACTCGCTGGCGGAGGCGGCGGGCGGGCGCCGCGCCGCGCTGCGGGCCGCGCTCGACCGGCGCCGCGCCGCCGCCGCGCCCCTCGCCGCCGCCGGCGCCGCGCGCGCGCGCCTGCACCAGGACGTGCGCGCGCCGCTGCACGCGCTCGCGGTGAGTAGTACACTAGTACACTAGTACACTAGTACACTAGTACACACACAGGGCCGCGCTCGACCGGCGCCGCGCCGCCGCCGCGCCCCTCGCCGCCGCCGGCGCCGCGCGCGCGCGCCTGCACCAGGACGTGCGCGCGCCGCTGCACGCGCTCGCGGTGAGTAGTACACTAGTACACTAGTACACTAGTACACTAGTACACACACAGGGCCGCGCTCGACCGGCGCCGCGCCGCCGCCGCGCCCCTCGCCGCCGCCGGCGCCGCGCGCGCGCGCCTGCACCAGGACGTGCGCGCGCCGCTGCACGCGCTCGCGGTGAGTAGTACACTAGTACACTAGTACACTAGTACACTAGTACACACACAGGGCCGCGCTCGACCGGCGCCGCGCCGCCGCCGCGCCCCTCGCCGCCGCCGGCGCCGCGCGCGCGCGCCTGCACCAGGACGTGCGCGCGCCGCTGCACGCGCTCGCGGTGAGTAGTACACTAGTACACTAGTACACTAGTACACTAGTACACACACAGGGCCGCGCTCGACCGGCGCCGCGCCGCCGCCGCGCCCCTCGCCGCCGCCGGCGCCGCGCGCGCGCGCCTGCACCAGGACGTGCGCGCGCCGCTGCACGCGCTCGCGGTGAGTAGTACACTAGTACACTAGTACACTAGTACACTAGTACACTAGTACACACACAGGGCCGCGCTCGACCGGCGCCGCGCCGCCGCCGCGCCCCTCGCCGCCGCCGGCGCCGCGCGCGCGCCTGCACCAGGACGTGCGCGCGCCGCTGCACGCGCTCGCGGTGAGTAGTACACTAGTACACTAGTACACTAGTACACTAGTACACACACAGGGCCGCGCTCGACCGGCGCCGCGCCGCCGCCGCGCCCTCGCCGCCGCCGGCGCCGCGCGCGCGCCTGCACCAGGACGTGCGCGCGCCGCTGCACGCGCTCGCGGTGAGTAGTACACTAGTACACTAGTACACACACAGGGCCGCGCTCGACCGGCGCCGCGCCGCCGCCGCGCCCCTCGCCGCCGCCGGCGCCGCGCGCGCGCGCCTGCACCAGGACGTGCGCGCGCCGCTGCACGCGCTCGCGGTGAGTAGTACACTAGTACACTAGTACACTAGTACACTAGTACACTAGTACACACACAGGGCCGCGCTCGACCGGCGCCGCGCCGCCGCCGCGCCCCTCGCCGCCGCCGGCGCCGCGCGCGCGCGCCTGCACCAGGACGTGCGCGCGCCGCTGCACGCGCTCGCGGTGAGTAGTACACTAGTACACTAGTACACTAGTACACTAGTACACACACAGGGCCGCGCTCGACCGGCGCCGCGCCGCCGCCGCGCCCCTCGCCGCCGCCGGCGCGCGCGCGCGCCTGCACCAGGACGTGCGCGCGCCGCTGCACGCGCTCGCGGTGAGTAGTACACTAGTACACTAGTACACTAGTACACTAGTACACACACAGGGCCGCGCTCGACCGGCGCCGCGCCGCCGCCGCGCCCCTCGCCGCCGCCGGCGCCGCGCGCGCGCGCCTGCACCAGGACGTGCGCGCGCCGCTGCACGCGCTCGCGGTGAGTAGTACACTAGTACACTAGTACACACACAGGGCCGCGCTCGACCGGCGCCGCGCCGGCGCCGCGCGCGCGCGCCTGCACCAGGACGTGCGCGCGCCGCTGCACGCGCTCGCGGTGAGTAGTACACTAGTACACTAGTACACTAGTACACACACAGGGCCGCGCTCGACCGGCGCCGCGCCGCCGCCGCGCCCCTCGCCGCCGCCGGCGCCGCGCGCGCGCGCCTGCACCAGGACGTGCGCGCGCCGCTGCACGCGCTCGCGGTGAGTAGTACACTAGTACACTAGTACACTAGTACACTAGTACACACACAGGGCCGCGCTCGACCGGCGCCGCGCCGCCGCCGCGCCCCTCGCCGCCGCCGGCGCCGCGCGCGCGCGCCTGCACCAGGACGTGCGCGCGCCGCTGCACGCGCTCGCGGTGAGTAGTACACTAGTACACTAGTACACTAGTACACACACAGGGCCGCGCTCGACCGGCGCCGCGCCGCCGCCGCGCCCCTCGCCGCCGCCGCCGCCGCGCGCGCGCGCCTGCACCAGGACGTGCGCGCGCCGCTGCACGCGCTCGCGGTGAGTAGTACACTAGTACACTAGTACACTAGTACACTAGTACACACACAGGGCCGCGCTCGACCGGCGCCGCGCCGCCGCCGCGCCCCTCGCCGCCGCCGGCGCCGCGCGCGCGCGCCTGCACCAGGACGTGCGCGCGCCGCTGCACGCGCTCGCGGTGAGTAGTACACTAGTACACTAGTACACACACAGGGCCGCGCTCGACCGGCGCCGCGCCGCCGCCGCGCCCCTCGCCGCCGCCGGCGCCGCGCGCGCGCGCCTGCACCAGGACGTGCGCGCGCCGCTGCACGCGCTCGCGGTGAGTAGTACACTAGTACACTAGTACACTAGTACACTAGTACACTAGTACACTAGTACACTAGTACACACACAGGGCCGCGCTCGACCGGCGCCGCGCCGCCGCCGCGCCCCTCGCCGCCGCCGGCGCCGCGCGCGCGCCTGCACCAGGACGTGCGCGCGCCGCTGCACGCGCTCGCGGTGAGTAGTACACTAGTACACTAGTACACTAGTACACTAGTACACTAGTACACACACAGGGCCGCGCTCGACCGGCGCCGCGCCGCCGCCGCGCCCCTCGCCGCCGCCGGCGCCGCGCGCGCGCGCCTGCACCAGGACGTGCGCGCGCCGCTGCACGCGCTCGCGGTGAGTAGTACACTAGTACACTAGTACACTAGTACACTAGTACACTAGTACACACACAGGGCCGCGCTCGACCGGCGCCGCGCCGCCGCCGCGCCCCTCGCCGCCGCCGGCGCCGCGCGCGCGCGCCTGCACCAGGACGTGCGCGCGCCGCTGCACGCGCTCGCGGTGAGTAGTACACTAGTACACTAGTACACTAGTACACTAGTACACTAGTACACTAGTACACTAGTACACGGCCACACACAGGGCCGCGCTCGGGCACACCTGCAAGAATATCCCATAAACAGCGACGCCAGGATGGTGATAATTTGTAAGGATGAATGATGTACGTAGTAAGTAAGCAGTATATAAGGATTACTAATTACTTACTAAACGAAACAGTATACACACAAACGTATCTATCATGTGCGTAACGAACGCACCCTTACATGACGACCCTGCCACCCTTATAGCTGAACGGCATCCAACGTGGCAACGAGCAAGAACCGCTTCACTGCCAGGATCTATATTTTCTAAATATTAAATTAAGCATCCATTTGACTACCGCAGGGCAACAACCCAGCCCGCGAGTATCTATCCCGAGAGGCAGCGGTATCCGCGCAGCTCACGCAGCTGGCAGCAGGGGGTCGTCCCGACCGCGCTGCCGTGCTCGCGGCCGCCACCGCCGCCGCACATTTGATTAACGAAATACCGGCCATGCACGATGCACTACTACAGTAAGTATCTTCAGCTATAACTAAAATTGAGAGAGCAAAGGACACTCTGAACAGCGGAAGAACTTTTGGAACGGCAGAAAGGCTACTCCTGCCCGACGAATACGACGTTATTCAACTTGGGGTTCAACATTGTCTAAAACAGTCGTAATTTCGATTGTTGCTGGAATAGAAGAGCGGATCGCTCGAGGGGTCATAAAATTAGACATATTTGATGAGATAAGAAAAAGTATGTAGGACGGATCATAATCCATCCTACTTTCTATAGAAAGTATTGTCAATTTTGCACTTTCTTTCTAGGAAAAATGTCAACATTTATGATGACATACTTGGTTAGGGCTATTTGCTTCGAGCTGACATAATTTCAAAGTAAACTACCTACTATACTATAAGTAGTAAAATGGTACTGTACGAAGTAGAGTAGGAGTGAAAAGATGAGAGAATGTAAGCGTCGATCTTCCCCCGCAGGCTGCCGGCGGCGTGGGAGCGCTGGGAGGCGGAGAGCAGCAGCCGCCCGCCCGCGCGGCCGCCGCCCCCGCACAGGCAAGGTACGGACCGCACACACACACACACACACACACACGCACGCACGCACGCACGCACGCACGCACGCACGCACGCACGCACGCACGCACGCACGCACGCACGCACGCACGCACGCACGCACGCACGCACGCACGCACGCACGCACGCACGCACGCACGCACGCACGCACGCACGCACGCACGCACGCACGCACGCACGCACGCACGCACGCACGCACGCACGCACGCACGCACGCACGCACGCACGCACGCACGCACGCACGCACGCACGCACGCACGCACGCACGCACGCACGCACGCACGCACGCACGCACGCACGCACGCACGCACGCACGCACGCACGCACGCACGCACGCACGCACGCACGCACGCACGCACGCACGCACGCACGCACGCACGCACGCACGCACGCACGCACGCACGCACGCACGCACGCACGCACGCACGCACGCACGCACGCACGCACACACACACACACACACACACACACACACATTTCTGTTCAGCTACTAAATATTTATAACTACAATATCCGTGCACGTCTTGGTAACTTGAAGATAATTTTTCATCTAAGCTTTCATTTTACCTGTTTTTTCTTTTCGTACGAATTCTCTCAACTGCAATATGTTTTATAAAAAAAATTGTAATGTCTTTTCAAGAAAATCCGTTTTTGTTCATTTATTTAAATGAGTGTAACTGAATCATGCTTGTTGCTCACGCAACTTGACTCATTTGAGTAAAATTTAATACAGATATAGATGTTTTCTCGTTCTGTTTTAGACATATGATATCGTTTATCTGTATCCGGTTTATATGGACGGCGTTAACTGTATGTATATGTGTACAGGCGGCGAGCGTAACGCGCAGGGCGCCGGCGTGTGGAAGAGAGTGCGGCTCAAGTTGGAGGGACGCGACCCAGACAACACGCGCCGCCTGCCGCCCACCGAACAGGTACACCCACCACCACCCATCACCACCCACCACCACCCATCTACACCCGCCACTACCCATCACCACCCATCGCCACCCATCACCACCCGCCACCACCCATCACCACCCGCCACTACCCATCACCACCCATCACCACCCCCACCATCCATCACCACCCACCACCACCCACCACCACCCATCGCCACCCATCACCACCCGCCACCACCCATCACCACCCACCACCACCCATCGTCACCCATCACCACCCATCATCACCCATCACCACCCGCCACCACCCATCACCACCCGCCACCAGCCAACACCACCTACCACCACCCATCGCTACCCACCACAACCCATCACCACTCATCACCACCCGCCACCAGCCATCACCACCTACCACCACCCATCGCTACCCACCACCATCCATTGCCACCTACCACCACTTATCGCCACCTACCACCACCCATCGCCACTCACAACCATCCAACGCCACCCACCACCACTTATCGCCACCTACCACCACCCATCCTTATCCACCACCACCCATTATTACCTACCACCACCTAATATCACATACCATCACCCATCGCGACTTACCACCACCTGCTACCACCTACCACTACTCATCACCATCTACCACTACCCAGTGCCGTCTAGCACCACCTATTACCAATTACCACGATCCATCGCCATCTATTACCACCTACCACCACTCATCGTCACCTATGACCACCTACCACCATCTGCTACCACCTACCACTACCTATCACCATTCATTGCCACCCACTACCACCTACTACCATCAACTACCACCAACCACCACTCATCGGCGCCTATAACCACCTACCACCACGCACTACCACATACAACTACCCATGGCCACCTATCACAAAATAAAACTTTCGTCCAAGAACAAATACCAGTGTTTTAATAAAAAGATCATTATAAAATTCAATTCTAGAATATTCTTTGGAGTCTTGTAAAATTTTATTACATGTACTAAACCTATATAAGGTTTAGTACATGTAATACAATTTTACAATTACAATTACATGTAAAACACCGTCACATCCTAGAACTCGTTCCAGGTGGAGCACATGATAAGCGAAGCGACTAGCGCAGAGAACCTGTGCCTGATGTACGAGGGCTGGATGGCGTGGGTGTGAAGGACGCCAACGTGTACCCTGCACCGCCCCCGCTACTGGCAGCCTCGCCGCGCCTGCGCCCTGCGGCCCGCGCGCCAGCGAGGTACACGCGACAACACGCGACTACACGCCACAACACGCGACAACACGCGACAACACGCGACAACACGCGACCGGCGGCGTCGTCCCCGACGAGGAGGCGCCAGCGACCATCGCAGTTCTGACGTTCCTGATCCAATTTCCCATTATTTTGTTTACGGTCGTTGCGCTCGGGTCGGCCCGTTGTCAGTAATTTGATGATTACATATGTATGACTTGTTCTGACGAGGTGTTTGCAATAGTATTTCGAGATTTCAATATGTAATTTAATGATGAGAAGCAATTGTATACCGAAATGACGCAAAACAAGAGACGACGGGCCAATGGTTAGTGTTAATTATTATTTGTTTCTGTGTAGACGGCTTTAAGTATAGCTAATTATAAAAACGGTTAGGGAGCCGTCGCCCGCGAGCAGCTGCGGTGTTACTATACTTGTAATATGTCGTGCGACATACCACTAGAGGTACACAGTGGGTCAACTATACGATAGATTACCATGCAAAATGCCATCTATGCTTGCGTTGATGCAGTCTCTACAGACTGGTTTATATTATAATCAAATTTGTCATGTTCATCTATAATCATTTGGAATTAATTAATACACATTTTTCCATCTGTTTAACCTGCTGGTGTTGCCAGCAGCGTGGTGTGTTTCGTTTTGAAATGGTGTTGCCAGCTATTTGCTCACCAAGCTCGGTTTTGGTGAAGTTGAGTTATGTAATGCATGTTATTGGCAATTATTTGCTGAATAAGTATATATTATTATTGTTATAAGTATGACAGTGAAATTGCAAAGTACCTTAGTTCTCAGTAAAGGTACGTATGGGGTATTACGGATCCCTCAATTAATTTTGTGGTATCCGTAGTCTATTGGCGACAATTACCTTTTACCAACAAGTACGCCGTTACCTTTTTGAAAAAAAAAAACAATTGGACGTTCTATTGATATCAATAAATTATGTAACGATACCTATCCGTTACTGAAATTATAAATTTATAATTTTTATAAATTCGCACTCTTAATTTCAAAACAACATGGTTTTAGTAAATATATTATTCCAGAACATGATAAAAATATATTAATAATAATTCGCTTAAATATATTTTAATGTAGACATATAATGTGGTCTTATCTCTTGTAACTGTAGTGTACGTTGGTATATATATATGTATACTAGCTGTCCCGGCAAACATTGTTTTGCCTTAAAATAAAAAATAAAAATTTAGGGGTGGACTACCCCTAACATTTAGGGGGATGAAAAATAGATGTTGGCCGATTCTCAGACCTACTCAATACTCTCGAGAATTGGTCAAGCCATTTCGGAGGAGTATGGGAACGAAAACTGTGACACGAGAATTTTATATATAGGATTATGTATATGGTCATATAGAAAATAATGTCTTGGAACTGTTGTATCAAATTTACTTAGATCCATTAATATAATAAGATACCTAAGACCTTAATACATTTATTGAACCAATATCTTATTCACAATTGTTTCTTGCTACATACATCAATATATAATAATAATAATAAAATCGACTCATTCATTGCCTTGCCTTTATCCCATTATTTGTGGTCGGCGCAGTATGTCATTCTCTTCCACTGCTCTCTATCAGTCGTCATATCTAAACATACTCTTATTTTATTCATATCATCTTTCACACAATCCATCCATCTTTTCTTAGGGCGTCCCCACCCTTTACATCCATCCACATTCATATTATACACTTTCCATAAGACATGGTCCTCATTCCTCCGCATAACCGAGTATTATATAAAAAAGATTATTTCTGAACGTAATGTCCTAAAAAAATGTAGAAAGTTTAAAAATTCAACAATTTCTGATTGTTTATCGCCGAAGTCATTTTTATAATTGATGCTATTGATATTCTAGAGTTATATAAAGTATTTTAAGATTAAATATGGATATAATACAAATTGTTGTCATAGATTATCTTCTCATTGCTACTCTCAATGTAAAACTGTATGTCTATTTAATATAATAATATAGAAACAGTAATTTTACATACATCTTGGATGAGTATATACTGTAGTTCAGGATTATTTATGTAGATATATTTACTGAAAGACGTAGTTTTCAATTGTTTTATGAATAGCGCCATCTGGTGGTCGTTCAAGTTTTAATTTTATGATTGTAGTACTTATAGGACATCAGATTTTTTGGATTGTTTTCGGGGGCACTAGTAGAGGATGATAATGCGCATGAAGTCAGGTCAGTTACCCCATCTTGACAAATGACAATTTACCACGATGGTTTCCAAGAACCGTGTTGAAGGTAATATGACTTGGTACATTGCTAGCTAGGGTTATAACTGTATGGATATTGTTGTAACATTTAAATTTATATACTGCATTGAAAGAGTTTATATTATTACCGTTCATATGCGATTATTGGAGGAGCTTGGCTGGCTACTTTAGTACTCTCGGCTGGCTCTACACGTAACGATCCAGATGAGACCCTAAATGTAGAGAATAGAGTCCAATTTACATTAATACCAAAATAAGTTCTCGTACTGTCTACGTTTACAAGAGATAAGTCCATTACATACATAGATATATATGTATATGTACCCGCATTGATATATCCCACGTGTGAATGTGTATGTATGTGCTTCAAAATTAATTCTATATCGTCCCTAAGCTTTTGTATGAGTTTGACAGTGGATCCAAGTGTATGGATTTGTATAATCAATTTCAGTTCTAAAATCAAATGTGATGTATTTTGAAAAATTTCAAGGTATATTATATTAAATAAATACAAATTAAAAAGACACTTTAATTTTTTTATATTGTTTAACATTTCAATTTTATCTCAGTAAATTTTTGCCTTGAAAATTGAAGCCTGTTTATGTACGACTTTATAACAATACTGTGGCTCACTTTCATGTTTAACATATTTAACAAACATTTGAACATGTAATCGTATATGTAGGTGCAGATATAGTACTTATATTATAACTATTCGTTGTCTATTATCAACTTTAGTACATTCAGGGGCGGATCGTCATTTTGTAGGGCCCTGGGCTAAATATACTTAGGGCCCTACCTGATTATATTACTCAACTAAAAAAATACACTGACCAAAAATAAGCGACCAGAAATTTCCCGTTCCTTTGGATTGGTTGATAAATCTCAGGGTTGCCAACCTAATGATAATTTTTTAACATTCTAGCTATTTTTTTATATTCTAAATATCGTTTCAGTGGGGACTGGAGGCCCTTTATATCCTCGGGGCCCTAGGCAGCAGCCCAAAAGCCCTTAGGTAGATCCGCTCCTGAGTACATTTGAATGTTTGTACAGATATATTCCCCATATAATAATATTAAATTATATACTGCATTGTTTCTCAAACCTGCGTAGAACTGTAAAATAGAATAAAATTCCTATAGAACTAATAGGGGAATTAAATATTATAGAATTGGTATTTGAGCCTATTAGGTCTATGAAAAGTCAAGATAAAGTAATGTTTTCAAACGTAATTCTTCAAATTGCTATCAATCATTTTACCATAAGATAATATAATTGACGAGACTGGATACAGTCTATATATACATATATACTTGTTGTGTTCACTGTCGGTGTGTTTGTAATTTCATTCATTTTAATATTAATAAATGGTGTATGTCAAACTTGTTGTTTTATTTGTATACCTCTTACTCTTATTTATTTCCGCTGACGCTATAGGCACAATTTTGATTATCCTGCTAGAAAATTCACAAAAACCTTCTATTGGAATGTTTGGGCTATTGTCAGGTGCTTGGACCTGTAGCTCTGCGACCTACATAGATCTATTGTGCTCGCCCTATTTTTTATTTTTTTTAGGGATGATAATGTAATGGTGCACCCGCCTACGCTAGCGATTTACGCTGGCGGGGCACCAATGGAGGATGACAAGATGAAGACGAGGTCAGGTCAGTTAGTCCATCGTATAAAATTCGCCAGGAATTTATCACGATAGTTTCCAGGGGGAACCGCGTGGAGGTCAACCTGGTACATTGCTAGCAGTGGGTCCACATTACTAACAATCCTTTTCCCCCCTGCCTGTACCCGTCAGGGACAAGAATAGAAGGATATTCTTAGGAGCGATGGTTTTTATCTCCTCGGGAAAGAGTGTAAACTTTCCAAAGATATTTCGTTTATGCATGAGTGGACTACAACCACATAGGATGTGTAGGGGCGTTTCCTCTTCAGTTTAGCGAAATCTGCAGAGTGTTTTTGTGCATAGGCGTAGGTTTGCCATATGCTTGTTTAATTTGCAGTGTCCTGTGAGGGCCCTAGTTATCATGCATGTTGTTTTTACTCAATAGCAATAGTCTATTAGAGTATATGTTCGAGTAGCCCGATATAAGGGCTTTTGAATGTACGTGTAGGTATAGTGACAATATTTAAAATGACTGCTATTTGCAATTGCTACCACTTGGGACTTCATCGTTTTATGTGAACCTAGTACATAATAACATTATCTCTATCGCACCTGTGGGTATAGTAGTAACAATATTTAAAATAACTGCTATTTGCAATTGCTACCACTTCGGAATTCTTTGTTTTATGTGAACCTGGTAAATAGTAGCACTATCTCTATCGCACCTAGATAGCAGTGTATTGATAAAAAGAGAGATATAAAATAAAAAGGATAGAAACAACAGTAGCCAGCTATACGTTACACCTAATTTATAGTCAGACACCTTCATTAGCTTATGTCACCCTAGTAGATTCTTCTGATTGTTTCTTCTTCAGATAAGCAATAATATTATTAGAAACATTCACGTAAACTGAAATTATATTCCAATTACTAGGGTGACATAAGCTAATGACACCATTAGCTTATGTTATTGGAATATAATTTCAGTTTACTGTGAATGTTTCTAATAATTAACAGTCCAATCAATTATATTATCTGAAGAAGAAATAATCAAAAGAATCTCCTAAATACTAATAATAATCTATGGTTTCCTGATAGTATGTAACAAGATTCAGATCATCTCCGATAGCAAGTACTTTTCAGTGCAGATGCTGACGCAATAGGGACGATTGGTTCAATTTTCTTTTATTCTCTATGTTATTCTTTTTTTAATTATTTATGTCGAGGAATACTGCAGTGCTTGTAATAAAATAAAATAATGATAGAATCATTTTGTACACTACATATATTTATTGGTGTCGCCGCGGAACGTTCGAGAAGAATGCTATATTTATAAAAAGAAACGGAATTATATCGATATTCTGTTTTTAAACAGATTTCTTTTTATTTTTTAAGATATTATTTGTTTTCGCAAACACTCAAAGAAATCAAACTTGCGTGTTTACTATGCTATGTTTACATTCAGCCGCTGTCCCTGCCACTCGCGCCGGAAATATTGCCGGGCGACAACTGAGCGAGAGGGCTGAATGTAAACACACGCTGCCACTCGCGCTGCCAGTCCTTTGACTCGCGTACGAAAAAGGGACAATCGAGGGAGCGCCGGCAGCGCGAGTGGCAGCGCCAATGGCATGGGAAGTGTTACACTCTCGCGCTGCTCATTTTCCTGCCCACTCGGGCTGAGTGTAAGTTGGGCATTAAATAAATGATTGCAATAATTAGAAGAATGAAACAACTTTGTTTTATATTTTGAATATATTGTGACTTAAAATCATACATACACAAAGTAAATACATTTTAAAAATAAAATAACAAGGACAGCACGCCCGTTTCTTTCTTGAGATAACGTTTTCTATAATTCCAAATTTAGTTATGGCCATATCACAAAATAAGCTATTTACATACACTACAACGTCAATATTCAACGAATCTCAAAACCAAATTGAATGAAATATACTTCTACACTTTGGTCTATAACAAGTACATCTTTTTTAATTCACGACCAATTTTGATTTGATGTTCTTTGGTGTCGAAGCCGGGTAGCAAACGTCTTTTTTTATCTACCTACTTTAAATACTGTTTAAAAATATTTACTTTCGTTTATTACAAACTTATGATCTTCAAATAATTTATGCAAGCCTGGTACAAATTAGTACATGATATAATAACATTAAATAAAAATGACTGCTATTTCGGATTGCTACTACTTCGGACTTTGAATTTATGTGAACCTAGTACAATCTCTTAGTAGTGTTAAGAGAGACAGAAAGATGAAAAGGGACAGAAACTATAGTAGCTCCCCATACGTCATAAATAACATTAAAAATGACTGCTATTTCGGATTGCTACTACTTTGGATTTATGTGAACCTGGTACATAATACTATCTGTCTCTCTGTCTCTTTCGCACCTGGATAGTAGTGTATTAACAGAGGTAATAAGATGAAAAGGGATAGAAACAATAGTAGCATCGCATACGTCACATCTCATTTATAGTTAGATACTTTCATTAGCTTATGTCATCCTAGTAACTAGTTGATTTTTTAAAGGAGGAAAAATAAAAGTCAATAAAAGTCAATATCTTACGTTGTAACAAACCTGAAATGGTTTCCAGGGGAGGGTGCCTGAATATTAACTACCTACATATGTTACAATGTTAGACTTTATGTAGGCTACTTCTTACTACCAAATATGCCGTTCTCTGTCGTTATGATTGATTTATAAGTATCATGGATGTCAGTCTAGCTAGTGTTCCTTCCAGCGAATTATGAAACTAGATTTCTGAATCATGACTTCCAAAATTCGTTTCTTAGTTTAACTATAGTCACGAACTATTGTTGGACAATATTTGAAAGTAAACGTTAAAATGTAGCCAATACAAGCGTGTTTCAAGTACTTTGGTATAATTATCAATTTAATTTTTCCTCCTTTAAAAAAAGTAAAGTAAAAAAAACTTAAGTGGTTATGGACTCCTGGTAGTATGTAACAAGATTCAGATTATTTCGTATGCGAATTGGAAAGAAAATTTGTATTTATGCCATTGAAAGAAAAACAAACACTGGCAGTTGTGTAACTCATTGCATATTTTAATTTTAATATTTGTTTTGACGTTTACAATATTTATTTATACTAAGTTCACCAACGACTATGGAAATATAACCAGTATATGATTATTACTTTGCCGGCTCTACATACTTGTATGGATCGATTGCGTAAAATATATTTCATTTCAATATACAATAATACACTGTACAAGACCGTAACACTAAATAAAATACTATTCAATCATATAATACAATCATTAACATACAATTCATTATTTATATAGAATCGAAACATTATATTCAATAGCGAAGATTAAAAATTTCTAATGTGAAAGAAAGGGATAACTATCAGAGCACCAAATAACGAGTTCCCAGACACCGGCCCTACCTTGTTTCATATAATAAACATATTTTTACATTAATAAGAGTAATATAATAGTTTTCTTTCTACGAGGAACTTTATCCATCTCCCTTATATATAAAAATTATAAACGTACAGACTCATTTTATATACGGAATTGGAATTTTCTTGTTGCTAATGATCATGATAAACGTTTAATTTCATCAAGAAAATAGTTCAGACAAAATAAAAGTACAATGTCAAAACCCAAATTAAAAGGGAATCCGACTCGAAGGACCATAAAGATGTATGAGTCTGCTGTGACCCACACAATCTGGATGCTATGATGTATAAATGATAAGTCCGGGCTGCTTTTGATATATTGAGTACACGATGATTGAGTGTGGACTGATGCTTGCTTGTGAGTATTTGGTGTACTGAAGGGAAAATGGTATGTGTGGGCGTTATATGGACGCGGAGCGGTGTAAAATGCTGACGGCTGTATAATTTTCAAAAGTCATTTCTTTATCATAATTTTTTTACCAGTTTTGTCTTTCAGCTTTCTTCGCTAAATTAGCTATTATAAAATAAGTTACGAGTCTGTAAACATTTATTTTTTTTATAAATAAGGGGGTTATAATATTAACTTATATTTGTTTACACAGTTAAATGTAAGAGGTATTTACATCAACCCAAAGATCAATAATGAAATATTTTTTTGTACTAATAACAATTCTCGCTCGGTTTAGCACTAGTACAATTTTTATGTATGTATATCGATATGGATTCTAAGTGCATTTAGCATATACCAATATTTCTCTATTATCTGATTTTTAATTATCTCTGAGTTTTGGTTTGACATAATCTTGTATACTGTGCAATAAATCTTTCTTACACTCATAGAAAAGATATGAATTATGATAAACAAAAATGAGATCAGTGGCGTAACTGTACTATTTTGGGGGGAAAAGGGGATTGTGAGTAATATGGACTGATACCATGTCAGGTAGACCTCCACGCAGTTCCCCCTGGAAACCATAGTGTTAAATTCTTTGTGAATTTGTCACGATGGGCTAACTGACCTGACCTAATGCTCATCTTATCATCCTCCACTGGTGCCTCGCCACCGTAAACCGTTAGCGCAGACAGGTGTACCATTTCATTATCATCCATAAAAAAAAACTGTACCGCGGGCAAATTCATGGGATGGAGTCCACTCTTCATTTAAACAAGCTTCGTAATCTTTAATTACAATTTCAGTCAATATAATGCTACAATTGACACTGCCAATTGCACACAACATTTGCCACAGACACTAAACCTCAATAAACATTCAAACAGTCACAAACATGTGAATGCACGTCAAAATCTTGAGGCTTATCAGAATAAAGATTAAACAGAATAATGTCGATGTACTATTTTCAAATAGATTTTTGTTCTTGAACATTCTAAGTTTCTTATATTCTATTTTTTAAGACACTGTTTGCGATCGCAAACACTCCAAACATCTCAAAATCTTGATCCTTATCAGAATAATGTCGATGTACTATTTTCAAATAGATTTTTTTCTTGAATGTTCTATTATTATTTATATTCTATTTTTAAGATCATATTTGTTATAGCAAACACTCCAAACATTTAAAATCTTGAGCCTTATCAGAATAAAGATGAAACAGAATTCTGTTGTGAATTTCCATGGACTATTTTTAAATAGATTTTTTTCTTGAACATTCAATTTTTTTTATATTCTATGTTTTAATATACTATTTGTTATTGCAAACACTCCAAACACCTCAAAATCTTGAGCCTTATTAGAATAATGTCGATATACTATTTTTAAATAGATTTTTTTCTTGATTATGCTATTTCTTTTTACATTCTATTTTTAAGATACTATTTGTTATCGCACACTCCAAACATCTCAAGATTTTGAGGCCCATTCCCTTTGATTAGTGGCGAACAACGGTCAAAGAAACAGCTACGAGTGTTTACAATCTTACTCTAACATATTTCTATTCACATGGTGATTTGTGATATGCTGTTGAGGTTTCTTAAATGTGTGAGATGGGGCATTACAAATTAATCAACCAATCAGTCCGGGTCCTCGAGGTCCCGCTCCGCCATCTTATTGTTACGCCACTGAACGAGATGTAGGTATAAGAGCGAGCTATGTCTAAATCTGTTAGAGGTTTTTTCTTGAAAATCTTTATGATTATTCCATATCATTGTCGATGATTATTAATATGGCAGTTGTTTGTAGCATGAAGAATGTAAAGTTTTATGACATTATTTATTAATATATTTATGTTTTATATTTTAGATTTAAGCAAGAATTATGTGTAAGGATTGATAGCTAATGGCACTAGGGTCTCTCTGCCTACTTAAGCGGATCTGGCATGATTTATCTATATAAAAAAAAATAATATTGCCATTCTAACAAAATCCATTTGCCGCCTGCTTTAGCGAACTATATATAAAAATATACATTTTTTTACAATTTTTCTAAATCTGTATTTTAAAGTCAAAGCAACTAGCGAGGAATATATAACTTCTAGCACTTGTTAACATTAATCTCATTTTTATATGTTAATATTCATTTCTATATATATACCGGTTTCATTTTTCAATCTATTCTATATTTTGATTTTATTAAACGAAATTGCACATACATTTTGAATTAATTGTTCTTATTTCTCTTAGCGTGTGTATATCTAATGGAAATTGAACGAAATTGTCTATGGTACCTATTTTTGGATGTTACGACACTGCGATATAACTTATTGGCCCACGCATTCTTCACTGGGTACTAGAGGTAGTAGAGTGGTAAGGGAGTGAAGTTAGAGCCAGAAACGCCTGCTGCAGCGGAAGCAGGGCTCCGGAGGCTATCGGGTGCAGACCTTCTTCTTCAGTGCGATCAACTCGTCCAGCTGCGCTTTGTACAGCTGCGTCACGTCCTGTTAATGAATAGTGTGTTAGACAAACATACCGATGGTAAAAATTAACGACAATTGTTGTTATGAGCGTGGTGTCTTAGAGGTTTGATACCCCGGTATTTCTCGTTCTATTTGTCTACATTTACATGGACATTATTTCCTGCGTGAAGACCGATTTGCTCGTGAAAGAAAGAAAGAGGGTATTCTACATTATCTTGAACAAGTTTAGCACTTGTCCAAGCTAAGAATAATCATGTATGCTACATTGTACTGGACAAATTTAGCACTTCTTCAAGCTATGAATCATCATGTATGTTGCATTATATTGGACAAGTTTAGCACCTGTCCTAACTAAGAATAATCAAGTATACTACATTATCTTGGACAAGTTTAGCACTTGACCAAGCTAAGAATGATCAAATATATTTCATTAGCTTGGCCAAGTGTTAAACTTGGTCCTGAGAAATAAAGTGCCATATGTCGGCAATGCCAATACAAACACATGAAACAAGTAAACAGATAAAAAAAGTACGGACCTGTAAATCTAGCTTTAACTCCTCCATCTGCTCCTCTTTCTCTCCGTACATCTGTAGTAGGGCGTCATACTGTTCCTGAACGCTCTGTAATAAATGGATAAAATATATTATTAGTTCTGACTGTAAATGTGTTTCATAGAATAGAAAATAATTACAAAAACTGTAGCGCTAGCCGAGGACAGAAAACGCCGTCAGCATTTACAGGGATGTCGACAAATGGAGCACAGCTCCATGTCGCCAGCTGATGCAGAGATGTCGGCAGCAAATGCAGGAACGCCGGCTGCTGGAGCTAAGTCGCCGCCAGCTGGTGCAGCTGGTGTAGTGTGGGGGCAGGCCGCACCTGGTAGTCGTCGAGCCGCGCCTGCAGGCGGGCGGCGTGTCGCCGCAGGTGGGCTCGCTCGGCCGCCAGCTGGTGCAGGGTGGCCTCCAGCTGGTGCAGCTGGTGCAGTGTGGGGGCAGGCCGCACCTGGTAGTCGTCGAGCCGCGCCTGCAGGCGGGCGGCGTGTCGCCGCAGGTGGGCTCGCTCGGCCGCCAGCTGGTGCAGGGTGGCCTCCAGCTGGTGCAGCTGGTGCAGTGTGGGGGCAGGCCGCACCTGGTAGTCGTCGAGCCGCGCCTGCAGGCGGGCGGCGTGTCGCCGCAGGTGGGCTCGCTCGGCCGCCAGCTGGTGCAGGGTGGCCTCCAGCTGGTGCAGCTGGTGCAGTGTGGGGGCAGGCCGCACCTGGTAGTCGTCGAGCCGCGCCTGCAGGCGGGCGGCGTGTCGCCGCAGGTGGGCTCGCTCGGCCGCCAGCTGGTGCAGGGTGGCCTCCAGCTGGTGCAGCTGGTGCAGTGTGGGGGCAGGCCGCACCTGGTAGTCGTCGAGCCGCGCCTGCAGGCGGGCGGCGTGTCGCCGCAGGTGGGCTCGCTCGGCCGCCAGCTGGTGCAGGGTGGCCGCCAGCTGCCGCAGCTCCCCGTCGCGTCGTGTGAGCGCGGCCAGCGCCTGCTCCTCGCCCACCACGCCGCCGCCCGCCACCCCCGCACCGCCCCCCGCACCCCCACCACCTACAGGTGGCGTGCCGCTACCCTCCTCCTGTGTGCACACGATCTCTGGTTACTTCGATACCTTCATCGCACTATAATAGCCGTGCACGAGACCCCGACCTCCTCGTCAACGTCTCATGTGGTATTATAAGCCAGCAAAATGGAACAGATTGCGAGAATTTTACATATCGTACCCATGGAAGCAGTACCTCTTCGCATCAAAAGACGTACAGCCACCGTTACTGAAGTCATACTTATGGGTATGGAATGTTTCATTCCAAATCTGTTGGGTGCTTCAGGGGCGAAAAGGCGACCGTGGTTTAATAGGTCATGCAGAGAAAGCAGACAAACTAAACAAACTGCTTATCAGGTTTGATCCACGGCTCGTTCCAACGTTCCAGGTTTAGTAACAGGGTAATAGCCAAATTCGACTTCGCCCGCAAAATTGGAGAACAACTAGCACCACATCCTTCTGGAACGCTGGCGTTCTACAAGGTCCTGTTCTCTCCCCGACTTTATTTCAGCTGCACATCAATGATTTGTTAACCACAGTTAACATTCATTATTATGCGGATGACAGTACTGGGGACGCATAATACACGGGCCGTGCTAATATCCCTCTTTCTGTAGTGACGGCAATTTTGGCCCAAACCTCTCCAGAGAGGAGTGTTCATAACTTATTAAAAAAAAAATCAATAGTTTGTCTCTTTACTATAAAAATGTACAGAAAACAAAAAAATACAGACCACCCTATAAAATGGAAATTTTAAATTTAGAACATTCTTAAGTTTCACACTCGAACAATATTTCTGTTCATGAACACATTTTTTAAAATACTTTTAGGAATATAATCGGAAGACCTTTTGAGCTTACATGATTCATTAAAAGAATATGTACAATCAACTCACCAAGTGCCACAGGGGGTTAGAGAAGGAGTCCGAAGCGACGGACTGCGACGGCGATACATCACCACGCGCTGACATCTGCTCCTGTAATTAAATGTAATTAATTTGTTAATTTCATGCTTCATCAACATAATAGAGCCCCAAAAACAATAATTATTACATTATTTTTACTGCTATATAAGTTTATGAGCAATGATCTCATAAACTACTTTAACGGTGGTTTTCACGTTGAGCTAGCAATTAGCGCGCAGCTGTGCTCGAATGACATGCGATACTTCAACATGAACAATACCTACCTTTACACGACAAATTCTTCCACGCACAACCTACCGTGGGAACGCCAGAGCGCATAATCGTAAGGGTACATTTGTAGCCACTCATGCATAAAGGAAATATCTCCTTTGCAAAATTTACACTATTTCCTGAGGTATTAAAACCATCGCTCCTAAGAATATGCTTCAATTCTTGTTCCTGACGGGTCTAGGTACCGAACTTTGAAAAAGGGCGAGCACAGTAGATCTATGTAGGTTGCAGTGCTACAGGCCCATGCACCTGACAATAGCCCAAACGAGCCAATACAAAAAAAGGATTGCATTTAACCGTAATTCGTCAACTCTTTCACGCGTGTCTTCGCGAAAATTTCATGTAACATCACTTTCTTCACTCTTCTTCTTCTCTTTCTACACTCTTCTGATTTTACCTGATACAAATACATAGATAAATATATAATGATATTTTCAGGGTTTCTTTATAAAATAAACTAAAATTTGTTTCTCTGTAAACAAAGAAATGTTTTATTTAATTTTAAAACACTACAATTATTTAACACTGAAATAACGAATCACACATATAACTCACCTGTAAACAAAGAAACGACATTTAAAATTTATTACAATTATTATTCAACTATTACTGTCTTTTTATAATATATTTTATATAACGTACACTTGTTTTTGGACGATCCATTTTTATGTTATTTCTATTGACAGCTTCCTTTGACACTCATTACAATCAACAGTGCGGAACGCGCCAAAATTTGAATTATTGAAATATTTAATTATATTATTTTAAAGAATTTCTTTATATATATTTACAAAAAATATATATCTATGTATTTGTATCAGTTATCTAATATCCATAACACAAGCTTTAGCTTCACTTGGGTCTAGATGGCGCTGTGTTAATTGTCCTGAGATTATTATTATTATTATAATTACATCTTTGCTCTATAGTTAGACATCCATCGTTTTGGAATGACAATTAATTAGTACAAATAGACGCTAAAGCATGTACGTTTCAAGGACGCAGGAATGCGCGAGCGCGGCGAGCGTGGTCCTTCCTTTGTTTATGTACATTTGTGCTTTGTGCGCATTCTTTCCCGCGTGGAAGTCGATTCAAATGTGAACGGGGGTAGGTGTAGAAGCAGGTGGTGACCTGTATCAGAGCGTTCCTGTCGCGCTCGGCCTGCAGCTGGTGGTGGAGTCGCTGCAGCTGGAGTCGCTCGGCCTCCAGCGCGGCTCGCAGCTCGGCCGCCGCCTCCTCGGCCGCCCGCAGCCTCCCCTGCAGCTCCTCTACTGCGTTCTCCTTCTCCACTCTTAACGTTTCTAACTCTTCACATTTACTGAAATCGATCATAATCATTGTATCCACGTTATTGTCTGATAAGATAAGGTGAGGGAATTTTCAAAAGCCGTTAAATATTGTGATCATTGCAAACAAAAAGTAAAGTATGGGACACAGTTACCTGGATACATCAATATAATAATTGCAATTAATTATGGCTAGTAAGACAAACTCAATATTATCTACTAAGCACTGCCGTGTCTAAACTGTGTCATTCCACTTGACATTTCCCTATTGTTATTTAGTATATAATGTTACGTTTTAGCCTTACGAGTGGTAGATAAAAAACAAATTGTTATGACTATTCCAAAGTGCTTAAATTAATAAATAATTTTCTATTCTATTCAGCCGCTTCCCTTGCCACTCGCGCTGCCGGAAATATTGCCGGGCGACAACTCAGCGAGAGGGCTGAATGTAAAAACACGCTGCCACTCGCGCTGCCAGTCAAATTGACTCGCGCACGAAAAACCGACAATCGAGGGAGCGCCGGGCAGCGCGAGTGGCAGCGCCAATGGTATGGGAAGTATCCGTGCTCACTTCCCTGTTCACTCGGGTTGAGTGTAAATTGGGCTTAAGAACAATATTTTTTATGTACGTTTTGTCAGTTCATTATCATCTGTAATATACATCGTCTCAACCGACAGCATTGTGTTATTACTCCACAACATAAAGGTTATATTCGACTAAGTATTATTTTGAGTGAGATTTAACAATCTTAACATTAATGTATCGAGTTAAGAAAACTTATCGTGTAAATCATAGTACTGTACCTTTGTATAAAAATAATGTGGTGTTGCAAGTTTAAATTAAGACGAGAAAAAGTATTTAAGAATTACATAAATTAAGGAGATAGATAAAATATAGAGAATGTTGTGTCAGACACAGGTCATCCGTTCCCCCTCTAGGGGTTGACGGTTGGGACCTAGAGGACCCTAGTACTCCTATACCCGGAATTGACTCTGGAGACAATAACTCGGATAATCTAGTCGATGATAAAAAATATATTGTGAATATTTTATATGGTATTAGCTACTCGCCCCGGCTTCGCATGGGTGTACATGTATTATATATATAAACCTTCCTCTAGAATCACTCTATCTATTAAATAAAACCGCGTCAAAATCCGTTGCGTAGTTTTAAATTTAAGCCTATATAGTGACGGACAGACAGCGACTGCGACTGTTTTTTATACTATGTAATGATGGCAATACTATTGTCGATGACTGATCATAGTCCGTGGTTTTGACACGTCCCTTTTCTCTGCACGCTCTCGGCCCGTCACGTCGTTCGTTCATTCATTTGCTATGTCGTATTCGCCTAATTACATTAAAATATTAATACTTATACATTATAACTTTTCATTTTTAAATCTATAATACACGTTTCACATTATATTGTGACAACTAGCTTTTGCCCGCGGCTTCGCTCGTGTTAATTTATCCCCTTAACGGTGGAATTTATCAAAATCCTTTCTTAGGGGTTGCCTACGTCATAATAGCTTTATGCATGCAAAGTCTCAGCCCGATCGGTTTAAAATTGACAAAGTTTCATACAAACTTTCATCCCTATTTTATCCCTTTGGGGGTAGAATTAATCAAAATACTTACTTAGCGGATGTCTACGTCTTCATGTCAAATTTCAGCCCGATCTGTCCAGTGGTTTGGGCTGTGCGTTGATAGATCACTACGTCAGTCACCTTTGAGTTATATATATTTAGATATATTTGGTGAAATCAGTCTCGTCGTTTCACTATCAACTGCCGCCTGCTGCTGCGCTGCGGTGCCAGTCGTGAGGTTCACTATAGTAAGAGTGTGAGTGGAGGCGTCCTGTCAGCGCGGCGCGTACCTGAGGAGCTGGGGCTGCAGGCGGAGCGCGGGCCGTACCTGAGGAGCTGGGGCTGCAGGCGGAGCGCGGGCCGTACCTGAGGAGCTGGGGCTGCAGGCGGAGCGCGGGCCGTACCTGAGGAGCTGGGGCTGCAGGCGGAGCGCGGGCCGTACCTGAGGAGCTGGGGCTGCAGGCGGAGCGCGGCCCGTACCTGAGGAGCTGGGGCTGCAGGCGGAGCGCGGCCCGTACCTGAGGAGCTGGGGCTGCAGGCGGAGCGCGGGCCGTACCTGAGGAGCTGGGGCTGCAGGCGGAGCGCGGGCCGTACCTGAGGAGCTGGGGCTGCAGGCGGAGCGCGGGCCGTACCTGAGGAGCTGGGGCTGCAGGCGGAGCGCGGCCCGTACCTGAGGAGCTGGGGCTGCAAGCGGAGCGCGGGCCGTACCTGAGGAGCTGGGGCTGCAGGCGGAGCGCGGCCCGTACCTGAGGAGCTGGGGCTGCAGGCGGAGCGCGGGCCGTACCTGAGGAGCTGGGGCTGCAGGCGGAGCGCGGGCCGTACCTGAGGAGCTGGGGCTGCAGGCGGAGCGCGGGCCGTACCTGAGGAGCTGGGGCTGCAGGCGGAGCGCGGGCCGTACCTGAGGAGCTGGGGCTGCAGGCGGAGCGCGGGCCGTACCTGAGGAGCTGGGGCTGCAGGCGGAGCGCGGGCCGTACCTGAGGAGCTGGGGCTGCAGGCGGAGCGCGGGCCGTACCTGAGGAGCTGGGGCTGCAGGCGGAGCGCGGGCCGTACCTGAGGAGCTGGGGCTGCAGGCGGAGCGCGGGCCGTACCTGAGGAGCTGGGGCTGCAGGCGGAGCGCGGGCCGTACCTGAGGAGCTGGGGCTGCAGGCGGAGCGCGGGCCGTACCTGAGGAGCTGGGGCTGCAGGCGGAGCGCGGGCCGTACCTGAGGAGCTGGGGCTGCAGGCGGGCCGCGAGCGCGGCGCGGAGCTGTGCGGCGGCGAGCTGGTCGCGCAGGCTCGTGTTCTCGTCGCGCGACATGCGGTCGCTTTCCATCGCCTTGGCCGCTCGAGTTTCCGCCTCCGCTGTTGAAATAGTGTTCATAATAATAATATAGGAATGCTGCGGGTGTTACTGGGTGGCGGTAAATGCGAATAAAGTGTATTGATAGATAGAAAAACAATTCATTTATTTCCATTATAGTGATCACACTCAGGCTGCCCTGCGTATTCTGAGGTGGGCAATACTCCGCTCAATTTGGCTAACAGGAAACCGAGCAAATCTCCATCAGCATTTCCCTTGCTCAGTTTTTGCAACATCAGGGGAATTCATTCCAATCTCAACGCCGTCCACCACCACCTAGAGACGGCGAGGCCGGCTTTGCTCTTCCTTACGGAGACGCAAATATCCTGTCCCGACGAAATTTCGTACCTGACCTACCCTGGATATAGATTGGAACACCATTTTATTCCACGGGCCGGTGTGTGCGCTTATGTCAGAGAGGAATTTGCTGTCGCCGTCTTGGTACACTTGAAGGTACTGACCTATCCATTTTATGGTTGCGTATAGATTGCGATGACCACCCCCGCATCTATGCATGCTTATACAGGTCTCATAGCGGTAACACCGAAACTGACCGACTCATTGAACACGTCCAATTGGCTACAGATTTTTTGCTCCAACATATTCCCTCCGCTGAGGTCGTGATTCTAGGTGACTTCAACGCCCATCACGCTGAATGGCTCGGTTCACGTACCACCGACTATGTGGGGAGACATGTACATGGCTTTGCTTTGGCATATAGTTTGACGCAACTGGTATCCCCGCCTACGCGAATTCCTGATGTTGCGCGATGACGATTGTAGTACGTACCGAGTCTCTGGTGGAGGTCTCGCGTGGCGGCGGCGTGTGCGCGGTCTCTGTCGAGGGCGGCGCGCTGCAGCGACGCCAGCTGACTCAGCAGCGCCCCCGCCGCCCCCGCCCCGCCCTCCGCCGCCCCCTCGGGGCCCGCCCCCGCCGCCGCCCCCGCCCCTGCCGCCTCCGCCAACTCGCGCGCCTCCCGCACCTGCGCCCGCAGCGCCTCCTCTCGCGCTATCCACTGCTTCTCCTCTACACACCCAAAAAAAATCTATCACGCGGATGATTCTGGTTTGTAACTTAACATTTAATAAGAACTATAAGTAACGATTTTAATAATGAAGTTTTAACTAGTCCAGTAATCCGCCTATCAAAAGACTTTGTTTAATATTTAAGGTAACTATTTCGCGAGTGATTTGAGGAAAAAAGTCCCCCAACTTTCGCGCCAACGCCTCAAAGCCCCAACCTTCACCCTCCTTCTCCTACAGGGTGTGCAAATATCCTTGTGATTGCTCTGACACGATCCGATCTCATCCACTCCGCTGCTCGTCTTGGCGCAGGTCTGCGATGCCTCGTCCTCGTCCTCGGCCCGTGTGGTAGCGGTCCGCAGCGCGGCCCGCAGCCGTCGCAGGTTTGCCGCGGCGCGGTCCGCGTGGGCCCGCGTGTACCTGTCCGCAGCGCGGCCCGCAGCCGTCGCAGGTCTGCCGCGGCGCGGTCCGCGTGGGCCCGCGTGTACCTGTCCGCAGCGCGGCCCGCAGCCGTCGCAGGTCTGCCGCGGCGCGGTCCGCGTGGGCCCGCGTGTACCTGTCCGCAGCGCGGCCCGCAGCCGTCGCAGGTCTGCCGCGGCGCGGTCCGCGTGGGCCCGCGTGTACCTGTCCGCAGCGCGGCCCGCAGCCGTCGCAGGTCTGCGGCGCCTCGTGCTCGGCCCGTGTGATACCTGTCCGCAGCGCGGCCCGCAGCCGTCGCAGGTCTGCGGCGCCTCGTGCTCGGCCCGTGTGATACCTGTCCGCAGCGCGGCCCGCAGCCGTCGCAGGTCTGCGGCGCCTCGTGCTCGGCCCGTGTGATACCTGTCCGCAGCGCGGCCCGCAGCCGTCGCAGGTCTGCGGCGCCTCGTGCTCGGCCCGTGTGATACCTGTCCGCAGCGCGGCCCGCAGCCGTCGCAGGTCTGCGGCGCCTCGTGCTCGGCCCGTGTGATACCTGTCCGCAGCGCGGCCCGCAGCCGCCGCAGGTCTGCCGCGGCGCGGTCCGCGTCGGCCCGGGCCGTGCGTGCGTCGTCCGCGGCGGCGGCGGCGCGTGCGGCCCGCCGCTGGTGGTCTGCTGCGCTGCGCTGGAGGTCGGTGAGTTCGCCGCGCGCCGCCTCCAGCGCCTGCCGGGAGCTCTCCAGCCGCGCCTGCGTGTCTTCCAGCGTGCTCCGCGTCTGTACCACGACACACACACACACATACATACACATTTTTTAATCTACCGATCATTCGGAATGCTCTCTCGAGACGAGAAGACCAAACTTTCGTTAAGCACCTTTAAATTGTTGTAACTTTACATTCTTTAACTATCCAACTAGTATTAACTTTTATCACGTCATACCATAACCATTCCTTCTTCTCCCGCCTGGCAGCATGTACGTCACTGAACAGCCGTCAGCATTTCGTACCATCGAAGGGAAAACGGTATGTGAGGTCGTCCATATAACGACCTCACATACCGTTTTCCCTTCAGTACACCAAATATTCACAAGCAAGTATCAGTCCACCCTTAATCATCCTGTACTCAATAAATCAAATTGGAAAGCAGTCCGAACTTATCATTTATACAGCATAGCATCCAAATTGTGCGGGTCACAGCAGACTCATACAAAAATGTATGCATACAAACTAAAACTGGCAAAATCTAAAATGATATTTTAACCCTTTTCACTTCAATGTCGAGTATCACTCGACAATGATTTTGTTCCAACAGATCCACTGTCGAATGACACTCGACATAGTGTAATACTTCCTTTTGCGGACAATTTTAAAAAGGTGTGAATTCTTTACGAAAAATTTTTATAAAGCCATCTCACACTTACTACGAAACGTGACATCAGCGCTGATTTCTACAACTGTAACCGATTGCACTGTTATAATACGAAAAACCCCTAAAAGTTAAAAAACGCAATTCTAACGTGGAGCTGGTGGAATAAAAAGAAAAAAAAGGCTTGGAGTAGAGATGTGCTAACACGTAATAAACATGACTCGAGTTAACTCGAGTTAAAATTCAGGTAACTCGAGTTGACTCGAGTCACCTGGAATAAAAAGTTTTTTTTATTATTTCGAACAAATCTAATGTTTTTGGGCGCAGCTAGCGTTGAAAACTTCACCGAACTATAGAGGGCGAGTAGAAATGGCACTTTAAAGCCGCGGAAGGACTTACAGAACACATAATCATTTTAATGATAACATAATCGGACGAATATGCGAATTTGTGACGAGTGAAAATTGTATGATATGAAATGATCGGAAAATTTCATGTCATTGTCGGTTTGATGACAGAATCATGCTATCGCTCTTTCACTTGATTCATTCATTTACCAGTTGAATTTTTCCAACTCGAGTTGGCAGAATTCAACTCGAGTTAACTCGAGTTGACACATCTCTAGCTTGAAGGTAAGGGTTAATACACACTAGTTGAATAATTAAATAAGAGGTAGAACAAGACGATAAGATAAGAGGACAAATCAGCAAACTCATTGCAGCAAAATCACCAGGAATTTCAGATATAATATCAACTTCTTTACTATTCAAATAGAAATAGAAATAATCTTTATTCAAATAAACTCATTACAAGCACTTTTGAATAGTCATATTTTGATTCTACCACTCATTCGGAATGCAGATTCATCACAAGAAGAACGAGCAAGAAACTTGTGTGTTGCTCTTTTTAATAGATGTTTTTTTTATATAAATAATTACAGTATAACAAGTAAGAGGCTTGCGATAATCAACATAGAAGTCGCTACGCACTCATTATTAGTGTAATTAGATAATATTGTCAGTGCTATGGATTTAAAGTTTTTCTATAAAAACATTAATATCGTTAACGAATTCTTCAATTTTATAGTAAGCTTTTTTAAAAGGAAGTGTTTTATAATTTTCAAGTGACATTAACAAAAATAGAGATATGTGATTCATACCTCGATTAGGTCAATCTCCAATTTCTTATTAGCTGTAGTTAGATTGTGGACAGCACTTATTTGATTAACTTCTAGCTCCTCCTTAGCAGCCATAGAGCGCTTTAATCTATCCATCTCGGCAGTTAGATCCGCTATCTTATCTCTGGACAAAAATATAATATTTATTATAGAGCAAGAGCTCACGACGGCCACACATTCGTATTATTAGTAAATAGCTGTACCCGCGACTTCGTCCGCGTGGAATTTAACTTTATTTTTCTAAAATAAAAGTAGCCTAAGTTACTCCTTACTACATCAGGTAACTGCTAAAACAAGTTCCGTCAAAATCGGTCCAGCCGTTTCAGAGATTAGCCGGAACAGACAGACAAAAATGTAAAATATGTTATTATGGTGTATGCACCGTATTTATATTCAATGTAAAAAACGGTTATTTCAATATTACAAACAGATACTCCAATTTTATTTATATGTATATATGTGAAAGTTCTTGTATGTGTGTCCCCAACACAGGTAAGAACGATCTCCACACATGAAACCTGGATCGTGGTTCTTTGGCAGGTAACAGGTAACAAAGGTGTAAAAATATTCATATCAAATTCGTTATTTAAAGAAACTCAATTTTTTCACATATTGTTCGTAACAGTATTATAACTTGCGCTGCTCATTCCCAGACACTTAGTATGGTTACTACCCCCGCCGGATACACCCCCAAACTATAAAATTCTACAATTATACTTACATTATATAATGAAAGCTGAATTTTATATATATTATTCAGAGAACTATTAAACTGTTTTTCTTTAATTGCCAGACAGTTTTATTGGTTCATTATCCTACCAGACACATTGAAAGCGTATATTGGGTAACAACGATGTTTACAATTTCATTTCAAATTTATTAACTTATGAAACAAAATTTTTTTACATATTGTTAGTAACAGTATTATAACTTGCTTGCCAGACACTTAGTATGGTTACAACCCCCCACCAGACACCCCCAAAATATAAGATTTTACAATTATACTTACATTATATTATGAAAGCTGAATTTTATATATATTATTCAGAGAACTATTAAACTGTTTTTCTTTAATTGCCAGACAGTTTTATTGGTTCATTATCCTACCAGACACATTAAAAGCTTATATTGGGTAACAAAGGTATATACAATTTCATCTCAAATTTATTAATTTATAAACTCAAATTTTTTATATATTATGCGTCTGGTACTGGTACACACATAGAACTTTCACATTTACTAGTAAGACGTATGTCTGGCCGTCATAGGCTCTTGGGCTATTAGCTTTATTGGAAGCAGTTACTATAATAGTATATTTATATACATTCTCTTGTTATGCTTACCTAAGACTCTTAATGACCTGTTCATTGTCCTTCTCCTTAGCTCTTAACTTCTTGATGATGTTAGAGTGCTGAAGTTGCTGCTTTGCCAGTTTCTCGCCTTCTTCCTGAAGCTGGGCTATTATATCATCTTTCTCTTTCAATGCGTTCTCCAGCTCTGATGAGTTTTTTCTTGAGGATGATTCAGATTTTAATGTATCCAATTGTTTTCTGAGCTGATCCTAGAGAGAGAGAGGAATAATGAGACTATTTGACATAATTAAAGAAATGGAAATAAAAATATCTCAGTACAATTCACACAGACCCGTAAGGTAAGTAGAACTACCTTACTACATGGCTCTGTGAATACATAGATATATTATTTGTAAATATATACAATTTAGTGACTAAGGTAAGCAGAGCTTGTGTTAGGATAGATAAGTATTATAAATACATAGATACATTTTTTTGTAATTACATACAAATAAAATACAAATAATCATACTCGTGAATACAAATGTTTGTACCCTGCAAGGAATCCTACCCACAACTATCGAAAATAAGGAAAAACTAGACTTTAAGGCACTAAAATAAAATTGAAAATTATTGGACTTAGATATACCTATATTATGGGTATGTGTGAAAGTTTATTGGGGAAGGTATTAGTAGCCGTTTAAAATAAGTAATTTTAAGTGACACAAGGAAAAAAATTTATATTAAGTATATATTTATTAATATTGGTACAAATACCTGCCCCGCTAATAATGTGTTAATATATTACCTTCTCTCTTATGGCTTGTTGAAATTTCTTTTCTAATGCTGACATTCTCTGAGTATAATCCTCTGTTATCAAGTTTATATCACCCCCTTCATGCTTCGCGAGCAGAGACTCCAGCTGATTCTTCAAATCTGCATTATTCTCAATAAGGTCAGCATTACTTCGACTCACTTCCATCAGTTTATTCTCTCTAGCTTCTAAAATTTCCGCCATTTCGCATAGACGCCGCATCAATCGTTCATTCTCTGACCCTTGACTCTCATCACTGGTATTACTCTGTACAGATGCCTCTGATAGCTCTCTATTGTGCCCACGCACCTTAGTGGCCAATGATTTCCCCAGCACCAAATCCACAAGGTTTGGTGAAGTGGATTGTTTGAAAGCATACTTTCCTGGGCTATTCCTGCAGAAGCCATGTCCATTATCTCCATTTGGACTGGGTATAATTTCAATATCAGATGACGTGGCTGTCTCCAACTCATCACCAGACGTGTGGCCTGATGTTCTGTCTGAACCAATCTTGACTAGATCACTCTTACTATCAGAACTTATTGGAGAAGTTCTCTCCTTCACACTACTCTCCTTTTGGGAGGATTCATTACTGTCTGTAGAGCACTGTTGTTTCTCAACATTAACAAATGCTGAACTTTCAGACCTCAGCATGTCTGTAACTTTCACATCATAGAAAGAAGATGAGTCACTCAACTTTTCTATCAGAATGTCATCTTGCTCGTTTTCTTTCTTATGTTCTTCTAATGTCGTGTCCATCGTGATACTATCATTGTCAGCATTCAATGTCCGATCTGACCAGGAACCATCGTTCGAGGAGTTTTCACTCATCTGCATTTTCTGAGATATAACTGACTGGTCTAAATGTATGTATTCTCCTCTACGGGGCTCAAGTCTTGTAGTCTTTTGGTAGGAACCGACTGATTTGTCATCTGTATCTAGAACAGTTGGTGCGGTGCATTCCGATATGGAATTGTAAGACATTGTATCCTCATCATCGTCAGCCACTAAACTGACACTATCAGCAGTTTCTGGTCTATCACTTCTATCACCAACAGGAGACAGCTTCTTGTCACTCTCATCAGCAATTGGGGACAAGTTTGAAGGTGAACTGTAATTTTTATCACTTGGAGAACTGTCAAAACCAATACACTCAATAGAACTCGGACTGAGAAGGCTGTCGGGTAAAACCTCAACAGATTCCGAATTGTGTTTCGTGCCTGTACTACTACTTTGAGACATGGATTGACATGACGGTTCTGAATCAGGGGTTGTCTTTAAACTCTGTGAAAGTACCTCCACCGAATCAGAACTATTTCTGCTCGATACAAGTGATAACCTATTTGACTTAGTTGAGCTGCGCCTCTCTTCATCTTTAGCGAATTCATCTTTACTAGCCTTAAATTTAGACTCCAACCCCTCTCCACCGTCAGACATAACAAGTTGACTTTTAGAAAACAAATCATCCTGACTATCATACTTAATATCGGATATTAAATTCAAAGACTGTGCTTTTGGTGGTTGTATAATAGTAGAATCATCACCTTTGGGTTGTTCAAAAAATGATCCAGCAAAAGATCCCCACACGCTCTGTGACGTGGATTTCGACGGACTGGCGGTGACCACAGGCTGATCTTTAATTGGTTCATCTTTAGTACTCTCTGCACTGACGGTTAGGCCCCAGGATGAGAAGAAATCCGAGTTTTCCTTGGAAGGCGTATTGCTGTGTTCCGGCGACGATTTATCGACAACTGCACTGCTGGGAGCCGGAGACTCATCCTCGTCCTCTTCGCCACTCACATCTTGTATATCCAGTGCTTTGTCGATGGTTTTCTGGGCTTCTTTTAACGCAGACTTTGCTAGACTCGTCAAGCCTGAGGTGTCGAACCAATTCATATTGTAGTTTCATTAGATAAGCACTATCCACTACGAATAACTATTAGAACGGTATTTTCGGCCACAAAATGTTTTAAAGTATCATTATTATGAAATAATAATACAATTCAAGAACCACAACACTGCACAGATGACGTTTCCATTTTGTTTATTTTCTGCAGTCCTTCATTCACTAACGATATAGTGTCGTAATATTTTTATAATAGCTTTACAACCAATTATAATGCCATTAAACTAAGCCAAAAATTAATAAAAATTATTATCTAGATTGTGAGATACCACGAATTGTATGATTAAAAATTCTCGACATCTTTTGACATTTCATTATAACAAAAAAGAATGTCATTTGACTCAATCGGTCAAACAGAGAGTCAAAGCAAATTTCGCCTTTATGATTACAGCTCCAGTGGCGCAATTGGTTAGCGCACGGTACTTATAAGACAGTGTACGTGTGAGTAATGCCGGGGTTGTGAGTTCGAGCCTCACCTGGAGCATATTTTTGTCAATTAATTATTAAAGTCTTTTTTTTATCAAAGAACACTAATTAATTGATAAAAGAATTGTTACAATATTATCTTATATCTGTGATCAAAATCTGTACTGAATTTATCCTATATGGCTCAATAATAATATAAAGGTAGGTAGGTATATAGTGAGTGATCGCCTTATAGTTAATAAAAAAAAACTGGTTACTCTCAAAGAAAACTACCAATATACCTGTAGGTACATATACAGCTCTTCCCCAAAAAGCTATATTGTTGAATGATGTAAATACCTTCATAATACGCGGAATATGACCTTTTATCCAATTTCACTAATTTTCTTTACATAATGTGCAGATTTTGGAATGTGTTAGAAACACATAAGACGAGGAATCTCAGGTCGACCTCCACGCGTTCACGCTGATGACTTACGTGCTATTTTCACTATCCTTATTTCTTAAAAGTTAGTTATTCTTTTTATAAGGTTTATAAGGTCCATCATGTGGCTATTTGTCTGGTCTTTCGCACCTCCCTAGGGAGATGAAGGTTGGGGCCTCGGGGCGAACCCCTTTTCCCCGGCATCTACTCCGGGGGCAACAACCCCCGAGTGGCCAGATCAAAGCCCCTAGGGTAAGTATACATAACAAAGACTACTTAAAACTTACTATGCGTTGTGCCATACTTGGGAACAGTTTTTTTTTTCATCCTGTGGCAGAGGGGGAAACTCCGAGCAGTTCCCCAGACTTGTAAGTCGGTGTAGGTTTAAGGGGCCCCTTGCTGATGTACGCCAACACATCTTTATTGCTCTAATCTAACTCGAATTAGTCTACCACTGATTCGGGAAGCTGTCTCATCACAAGAAGAACGAGCAAGAAACTCTATTGCTCTTTTAAATAACGTAGCTTAATAAATACTAACTTTACATTTTTAAGTTGAAAGTAAATTATTTAAATGAGTAACACACTTTTGTATTCACACAGAAATTTGTTGCTCATTTAAATAATTTAGTTCTAACTTTACATTTTTTAATTCAGCATTTCAATGCGTCACCTGCATGGTGGGCGGAGGCGGGGGAACTGAACAGTTCCCCCGCCAGTCGAGCAGGGCCCGCAACCCGGCACTATGACGGCAAGAATGCTCTCCCATCTTCATTTTTTTCAAGGCGTAGTAAAAACTAAAAAATGACGCCTCCCTAAGACTCCGCCGCCATCTTTCTCAATTTCTCCAATTAGTATTGCTATTAATTATTGTTGCTCTTTTAACAAATATATCTTTATCTTATATATAAAATTCTCGTGTCACAGTTCGTTCCCATACTCCTCCGAAACGGCTTGACCGATTCTCATGAAATTTTGTGAGCGTATTGAGTAGGTCTGAGAATCGGCCAACATCTATTTTTCAATCCCCCTAAATGTTAGGGGTAGTTCACCCCTAATTTTTTATTTTATTTTAAGGCAAAACAACGTTTGCCGGGACAGCTAGTAATCTATATATTTCAAATGGATTGAACACAAACAATTTAATTGTCGTCTGTTTTCAAAAATGCGTTAATTATGAGATGTGTATATCTGACAAGTTGGAATTTGCCGCCCTGGCTGCAGGGCCCCCCTGGCCCCTCCCTAGATCCGGGGCTGGGCTGGGCTGGGGTTTTTAGTGAATAGGAGCCTCACAGTACCCGTCCGTCCAAACCCTGAGACAGACAGGTGTCCATGGATTTCTCCACATTAAAGGAAAGGTGAGACTGAGGTGCCCACGCTGGCAACTTTTAAAGTCTACTTCGGGAAAAATCAAATAATGTTTTTGATTATTTATGTATTTATACAATTAAGTAACAATATAAGTACGTATTTCCAAAAAAATATATATATTATGACATCTTACTAATATTATAAACGTGAAAGTTTGTGAGTATGCATGTATGTTTGTTACTCTTTCACTAAAAAACTACTGAAAGGATTTTGACGAAACTTTACAGTAATATAGCTTATACATTAGAATAAAACATAGGCTATAAGTCAATAAGATATTATGTATATTGGGCGAAATGTGATGATAATAGTCAAGAGTGATGCCGACGATTGCGATTGGTGTTAAATAAAATGTTTATATGGAATAAAATTTATTTAAATATACCCTATTTACAGTATCACTAATAAATAACGGTACTTAAAACAATAAATTAGCACTTGTAAACACATTTTATAATAACAAACCTATTGACAATTAGGATATTGAGTTACGCAAACAAATATATATCGCTAATTAAATGCCAAAGGGCCACATGACGCAAACGGTAAATTTCTGATTAAATGCCAGAGTCACATAACGCAAACGGTAAATTTCTGATTAAATGCCAGAGCCACATAACGCAAACGGTAAATTTCTGATTAAATGCCAGAGCCACATAACGCAAACGGTAAATTTCTGATTAAATGCCAGGGCCACATGACGCAAACGGTAAATTTCTGATTAATTGCCAGAGCCACATAACGGAAACGGTAAATTTCTGATTAATTGCCAGGGCCACATAACGCAAACGGTAAATTTCTGATTAATTGCCAGGGCCACATGACGCAAACAGTAAATTTTAATGGAGAACTCATCAAAATTTTCACTGTGATGTTTTTAATTTTTTTACAAATCTATTAGTGGTATATCTATGTGTTAGCTCTTGAATCATGGGAGTCTTTTTTTTTAATATAAAAATTATAACGATTTAGATACCATTTTTGGAAAAAATATAGTTAGTTTTTTTGCGTTGAGCCCATTTGGCGTTTAATCAGCGATATATTGGAATGTAACAATATAATCAAATGCATTATGTAACTTAATAGGTTTATATAATTTTGTTTAATTCCGCTACAATTAGCATGTGTGAGACCACAAATATTCAGTGCGGAATCCTGGCCACCGCTACTGGAATCGTACCTACCTATACAAACAAGCGTACTCATGAATACAAATGTTTGTACCGTACGAGGAATCGAACCCGCGACTATCGGAAGTGAAGCAGCGTGCTAAACCGCTAGACTACCGAGGTTCTCATGTATCATCAGTTTATATATCTTTATTGATTGAAGACAAATTCTTATAATTTTTAATTATGTAACACAATTCATTTATCTAATATGACTCTTCCTTATACATCTATACATATAAATAAAATTGTTGTCTATCTGTCTGTTTGTTCGGGCTAATCTCTGAAATGGTGGGACAGATTTTGACGGGACTTTTATTGGTACCTGATGTAATAAGGAGTAACTTAGGCTACTTTTATTTTAGAAAAATATTGTTAAATTCCAAGCGGACGAAGTCGCGGGTACAGCTAGTATAATATTAGACAACTCCAGCATTTCCGGTGGTCGCTGGAGCGGGCTGTGAGAACATAAACGAGGTGGCATTCTGCAGTAGTTGCTTCTTTACAAAGTCAGTGGTGGCCGTGCCGAAGTTCTGCTTAGCTCCAATCTTGCATTTCAAGTAGCCGTACAGATTCGCGCCGGTCAATGTAAGCGCGATTAGTACAAGCAACTGAAAAATATTAACAACCTCATTAATATATGTTTGTATAGTGTTTAAGCTAATATAGTTAAGTGCCCAATATAATAGTTCCAAAATATTAACTAGATGTCGCTGTGTCAAATATGTACAATTTCTACATCGCGGTGGCAAGATACTTTTGCATTATGTCTTAAGACATAGTACATTTTATAATTAGAGACGGGGGTCTCTCCGATCGATCCCCCGTCCAATTCAAACGGGGATCGAAATTACGACGGCCTGATCCGAGGCTCGAACCCCTAGTGGTGCCCTCAGACTAAAGTCGTATCCGTCAGGCAGGAGCTGGCCTTCAGCCGCTCCATAAGTCCTTCCTTGGTTTGGAGTGCCATCTGCACTCGCCCCCTATCGTCCGGTGAAGCTGTAAAGGCCAGCTGCGGCCAACAGTATTAGAGTAGTCCGAAAAAAATGTAATTAAAGTACGATTATTAATTCCAGTCAGTAAAATGACAAGTGCAACTATCACTGATACAAAAAATGGTGACCCGCTACAATAGTGATGGCCGGCAATCAATAGACTTAGATATTTAGTCATGCTTTATTTTATTAGGTATGGAAGACTTTTTTTAATTTTAAATATTTAATACATACCGTATTAAACAATACGATTTTAGAATGAACCTTACCAGCATATTAAAATTTCTCACTATAACATTATTACAAAAGCTGGGAAAAAATGTAAAAAGAGATTCAGAGGAATTAATACTAGAATTTTTATTTGTATAAAGGCAATTTGATATTGAATAAAAAAAATGTAATCTCCACTAACTTTTAATTGTAAAAACTCGATTCTACCATCACTATTTATTTGGGACTAAAAACCTGCAACACTGGAAATGTCATTTTACTGACTGGAATTAATAATCTTACCTTAGAGAGAATAATCTTACTATGGAATATACACAGTTGAGTACTATCCTTGGGTTTCATTTACATATAGGGTCTAAGATCTAGTACAGTTTAGGTCATTAGTACAGCACTAAATATATAGTAATTCTTAAACTTTCGTATTTAATATACATTATTTAAATTATTAACCGGGTCTTGTGACGGTAGATGAAAAAACTGCTTGTTACCTATATTGACATCGCTGTTACTCCAGTTAGCTCGTGACCAGGGCTAGTGCACTTAGTGGAAACGAGAAAGGTGAATATCTTTATTTGTCAGAAAATTATTCTTGTTAAGACCCGGTTGATAATATAAATAACTAGCTGACCACGAGAACTCCATTCCGCCCCAGAGTTAAAGAAATTTTGAAGTTTAATTACGCAATAAATCTATAAATGTTAATAATGTTTTTATAGATAATATCTAACTTAAAATTCATAGCGCTGACAATGTTATCTGATTGGACAAAGATTGAGTGCATAGCGGTTTCTATGTTTTTTGTCGCATGCCTAATCCTTTTTACTGTAAATCTACTTAAAACAACATTTATTTATAAGAGCAACACACAAGTTTCTTGCCCATTCTTGTGATGAGTTCCGAATGAGTGGTACAATCACAATATGACTATTCAAAAGTGCTTGTAATGAGTTTATTTGAATAAAGATTATTTCTATTTCTATTTGGCGGATTACGGTCAATTTGATTTGCTATTATAAAAAAAAATTACCATCCATTTGAACTTCAATCCAAATAAACAGATGATGAAGAAGCCGGACCAGATAAGCGGACATAAGATCAGCCCCATCCAGAATAGGCGACTTTCATTTCTATTCACGCGATTCTGAAAATTAGAAAACAAAAAATCTGAAAAATTATATGAGTTATATGGTTTTATTAACTATTCTAATGGTATTGGCCTTTGCAGCATCATCAGACAACGTAGATTCATCTATCCCCAAAGAGCTCGTCAATCAAGAATTCTTTACTAATATAAATACTAACGTAACTCTGTCTGTCCGTCTCTCGTGCTTTCACGCCATAACTACCAAACCAATAAATTAAAAACAATAAAATAGTATGAAGGTTTTTATATAAATTCGTCATTATTGAAAATAGAAGGATGAAACCTTTTTATTGGGTTTTTGAGTTAGTGTATTATATACCTTACTAATATTATAACTGTGAAAGTAACTCTGTCTGTCTGTCAGTCTCACTGGTACACAGATCATCTAGACCCTGAGAAAGGACATTTCTTCTTTTTAATGCGATAAAAGTTTTTATGGGGTTGAAAGGGGAGAATGAATGATGCTGAAACTTTTTCTTTGGCTTTTTTTAATTACTTATTTTTAGCAACACTTTTCTTGAAGATTTCAATATCGTATCGGTTCAGAAATACCATTGCTTGAAGGTGAAATTTCAGGATAAGAGTCAAGACATCTTAGACTTCTCGAATGGCAACATATAGGTATAGCTGACAGTTAGATGAGTCGTTAGCTTGTTTGTCATTTCAATTATATAAAAAAGTATCAATCAAAGGCATTATTGTCCAAGAGCGGGGTCAGTTATGAGCTTCATCAGGATTTTTTTTTTGAGTATTTAAATAAAATTGCAGTGCAAACATTTTATCTAATTAAATTTTATAGGAGACAACCAACCAATACACACGCTGCCTATACAATATGTTTATATATATAGTATATACAGCCGTACACTCACCTGTCTGGCTTCAAACACCCAATGGGACTTGCCATCGTCATCTACGTAATTCCACCATCTCAATCCGACCAGTAAACGACCTGGAAATATAAAAAAAATATATAAATATATTAGCTGTCCCGGCAAACGTTGTTTTGCCTTATCTTAAAAAAAAAATTAGGGATGGACTACCCCTAACATTTAGGGGGATGAAAAATAGATGTTGGCCGATTCTCAGACGTACTCAATACGTTCACAAAATTTCATGAGAATCGGTCAAGCCGTTTCGGAGGAGTATGGGAACGAAAACTGTGACATGAGAATATTATATATGTAGATGTAATCTACGATTACATTATTATTTATTTATTATATTACGATACGAATGAAATACGAGATTATTATAAATATTTGGTATAACAGGTATAATATTCTTACTTAGAAATGTTCCAAATATATATATTTGGATAATATACATATATATTCATATTGGAATTATAATATAATATTATTATTTAAATTTAATTAAACCTTATCTTTCTGAATTATGTACAATATGGTTTATACATGCCAGAAAACATTATAAAAAAACATTTTTTTTGTTATTTATAGCTTTTGTGCTGATGGTAAAGTTAGAGTTGGTTTCGTTTAAGGCTTTCGACATAGGCCTCCTCCAAAAGACTCCATGCTCCTCTGTCCAATGCTTTCGTTCTCCATGGTGGTGATAAAAATATTATATAAATAATATTTAAATATTATAATAAAAAATATTATATTGAATTCCAAAGAGTATGAAACAAAACCAAACAATGAAGTTAAATACAGTATGAAGTTAGCTGCTAAATAAATGTACTATAAACTAACAATAATATTATTCTTATTATATACTATCAGTGCTTGAGGTTTCGTCCTCAAGAAATTTGTGAAATTGTGTCTTCTTTACTGTTGAGAATAAAGTACATATATTCTATTTAAGATTAGCTGACCTAATAACTTTGTCAGCATCACACTTGATATATATCATTATATTTCGCCCAATGTACATAACATCTTTTTAAATTATAGCTTATATGTTGTTCTGATGTATAAGCTATATTATTGTAAAGTTTCATCAGTTTTTGCGTGTTTTGCGTGAAAGAGTAACAAACATCCATCCATACTCAGAAACTTTCGCGTTTTTAAAATTAATAAGATAGTTGCTTATAAACTGTTTATTCCTACTCACCACTAATATTCTTGACAGTCCAGAAATCAGCAGACAGCAGGAGAATGACTAATACGAAGCTCGCAATGAACGAGTCGGAGAACCAGCCGCAGAGTATGTACACGACCACCGCAGCGCTCCGGAACACCAAGTGGAAAAATACTATGTAAGGGTGGCTGAAAAATATGTGTTATATTTTCTTATGTTAGTTATAATAATAATTCCGTTAAAATTATCCATATTATTATATATTTGACGACCTCGGTGGTCCAGCGGTCCAGTACACCGCTTTACAACCGATGGTCGCGGGTTCGATTCCTCGCACGGCACAAACATTTGTATTCATGAGTATGATTGTTTGTATCGGTCTGGGTGTTTTCTATATATAATATGTATGTATTTACAAAAAAAAAATATCTATGTATTTGTATCAGTTATCTAGTACCCATAACACAAGCTTTAGCTAGCTTAACTTGGGTCTAGATGGCGCTGTGTGAATTGTCCTGAGATTATTATTATTATTATTCTTTATTTCATCCACTGGAGTTATTGCAAAATCATTGCACATTAAATTAACTGCAATTAAAGAAATCCAACTACATTGAACTACAGAAATCCACAGTACTAGATATGTATCAAATAAAAATGTATATAAGCTACCTATTACTATCAGACAATTGCCTCCAAAACAATTTAAATTGAAAATAAAATGTTATTTTGAAAAACATCCTTTTTATGATATTACAGAATATATGAATCAAAAGGTAATTATGATTTTTAAACTTTATTATTACGTATTGTAATTAGTTATACCGTGTATTGTGTATGTAATTAATTTATTTTATTTTATTTAATAACATCAATTTAATTGTATGTAATCAAATTTAAATTTTATAAACATTATTGTATATTATGACTCGCCATATAGGTAAAGATGTTTTTACATTGGTCAATAAATGAAACTAAACTAAACAATAGTTCAAAAGTTTTTATAAATAATACTTAAAATTATTACAATTGTGCAAACAAAGGATGTGGTCCAAATATTTGATATGTAATCCATCCCATCCTTGTCATACCTATAAAATTACCAAGTACATCTTGTAAATTGTAATATAATAATAATAAAGATCTTTATTCTAAAATTCAAATTACTTAATTTGATATTTTAACTAAAATCTTTTTAAAATATTCTCTAACTTCAGTGTGCCTCCAATTATATTATTTGTAACTCTTCTCCATTCTAAATAATAACTTCAATTCCACTTCCCATTTTATTACATACCTTCCTCTTATTCTGTTTCCATCTCTAGGATACCATTCTGTTATTCGGTTATATTAAGTTGATAAAGTTGGTGGTAGTGTGACAAGAATGGATAAGATAAAGAATTAATATATTAGAGGAAGTGGCGCCGGTGTTGGAGAGGCTATATATTAGAGGAAGTATGAAAGTGGCGCCGGTGTCAGAGACTGAAGAGTAAGGCATGTAATATGCAGGAATGAAGATCATATCTTAAGGTGTTACATATGGATGTGGCTGGTTATAAGGGCAGAAGAAGACCGAAAGAGATGGATGGACTGTGTGAAAGATGATATGGTAAGAAAGGAAGTAAATAACGCGATGTCTGCGAACAGGGATGAATGGAAGAAAAAAACACAACAATTGATGATGATTAAATTGATAAAGTTCCCCTCAAAAATAGATTATATAAAGCCCATATATGTACAATCCTCAGTTTCCTTTTTGTATATAATAATAATAATAATAATCTCCTTAAGAGGGGAGATGAGATTTCTTTTGGAAATATAAAAAATAATAATAATCTCAAGACAATTCACACATCACCATCTAGACCCAAGTTAAGCTAGCTAAAGCTTGTGTTATGGGTACTAGATAACTGATACATATACATAGATTATTTTTTAAATAAATACATATTATACATAGAAAACACCCAGACCGATACAAACAATCATACTTATGAATACAAATGTTTGTGCCGTCAGTCGTAAATCGGTGTGCTGCCGCTAGACCACCGAGGTTGTTCTATTACATGTAAATATTACCTAGAATAAAAACAACTATGCTTTGATTTTTTCTTAGAAAGAAACAATAAATAATAGATATAAATATATGTATTCCGGTTACTGTCTGTGTGGAATACAATTTATATTATATATGCTGACAATATAGCTTTATATGAGTGAAAGAATTTCGAAATCAATCCAGTATTTCATGAGTTTTCTACTACAAACAAATATGACAAAAAACTTTTCCTTTCTGTTAATAGTACTTATATACTGTTAGAAAGAGGTTTGCAATAAATAACTAGACTGGCTGGTATGGCAGACGAAGCATGTTTAAATATTTGAAAAGAGTGTATTGTCAACTCATCTGTCTTCAGATTCATATATCTATGTTACCTGTCTATATTATTGTATTAAACATGTTTTTATATTATTATATCTTGAAATATATGTTTGTTTATCTATTATTCTACTTTATTTACTTGTACATTATAGTTACTTAGTTAAAGTAAGAAGTTCAGATGTAACCCTTGCATATACTTACATAAAATCTTTGTTGGCGTTGTCCTCCTCGCCGAAGGCGATGGTATCGTCGTCCAGGAGCGGCACCTGAGGCACACCTGGCTGTAAGTAGCGTGTTAAGGAACTACATCAGCTCAAGCCGTGCAAAGCTAGCATTACACTGTTCAATAATTAATAATTTTAACGCTCTATTGCAAAACTCTATCGAAAAACTTGTTATGCAGTTTATAATTAAATTAAAACACTATATACATGCAAATTAATTAAGCAAAATCATATTTTAGGAGTAATAAATAAAATAATCAATTGACATGTCAGGTTTAACAATATTATTCGCAATTTTTTAACACTATTAACGTATACTCACGGTAGCTGAATTCATTGCAGGATTGTTCATTTCATAACTAACTTAATTGTAAAATAATAAATATAATGTAATTCTGTCTGAATTAAACTATACAATATTTAATAATTTTAGTACTGTTGTGAATTTGTGATTCACCAGTCGATGGCAAGTCAATCGAATCAATCATAGTCAGTTCAGTTGTCTAGTTGTCAATCATATCAGTCAGATTATCTGTTATTTCGTATTTTCTTTCTGCAGATCTGAAAATCATGTATTGTTATAGTCTTATGAGTGTAATACATTATCAAATGTTCGAGAAAATAACGTGTATGCACTTTTCTTGCATATTATTGTATGTTGTCATACATATTTATCCATCCATCCTGTACTTACTGTAATAAAATCATAAATACGAAAACGCGTTTCTCTGTTTGTTCGATATCTTTTCTAAACAGCTGAATCATAACGAAAATTTATATGAAAATAGATGGCATTTTTTTTGTGGATGATAATGGAATGGTGCACCCGCCTGCGCTAACGATTTACGCTGAAGGGGCACCAGTGGAGGATGATAAGATGAGCATGAGGTCAGGTCAGGTAGCCCATCGTGACAAATTCACCAGGAATTTAACACGATAGTTTCCAGGGGGAACCGCGTGGAGGTCGACCTGACATGGTACTTGCTAGCAATGGTTGCTTGGTGTGGTTGATAACCTCAATCCACATTACTAACAATCCCCTTCCCCCTAATAGAGGGCATTTTGAGAACGGATATACTTAACCTATTTTTTATCTAAACAAATAATCTGTAAGAAGGTACTAGTGAGAATTAAGTTGCAGGGAGAAGCTGGTATAACATATATTTTTAATAATAGAAATAATAATTGGTCTCACTACATTAATTGTAAGTTCAATGATGTTGATCGCCAAATAGCTTAAGGAGGTGGAAACCAGCTTAGCTTCACTTTCTCCTTAGGGAGAGCGCTTAACGGATTATAAAATAAAATACAATAAAAAACCTAATTGTAATTGTTAAGCTGTAAACATTAATGTCCCTCGAAGTCAAGCTTATTTTATGAAACTTGCCCTGGCTTAAAAATTCAGTCTCCCAAGGGATGCTGCCCCTGGAATTGAGGTTCACCTCAAGACCCGAACCTCTTCGGAAGGTGAGAATGATTCGGTTCACTTTGATCACAAAATGTCATCAATAACACTTGCTGGTAAATACAGGGCTATTCACCAGATTTTAAGTCATGTCTCTTTTCATCATATCATCGATTTTGCGCGCGCGGAGACCTCTAAACGATTCGGGGTCCCGATGCAGTTGTTTACTCTGCAGAATGGATAATCTGGTCCTGATTGTATGTAGGCCCAGAAAAAATGAAGTAGATCTGTTTTCTGTTTATGTAGGTACGTACAGTGATCTAAATTTCGATATTATGGTCGCAATGTTCAAATTAATGTAATTTTTAGTAAATACCTGTATCAAATAATTACATTTCGAAAACTATGAATATTACTCAATTTTCAATACATTTGTATCACTTCGTTTTCGAACGAAAACTTGCGCAGATTCAATTGCGGCAAACTTCATACAAGAGGTAGAACTGTCAAAATTTTGCAGGACAGCGAGACACATGCAAACGCTGTTTACAATTTCCTTACCCCGACGACATCTCAGTGTTTGTTGTTTTGTAGTGTTGTTTTGGTTTGGCCTGTCTGCTCCTCTCCATATTCGTACAATGTCTTCCGATACCGCGGGTGCAGTGTTATTCTTGTGTTTGTGATCATACAGAGCTTAAGTATTTGTGTACGACTGGTGTGTTTTGCGTAACGAAGTCGCTATGGGCGCAAAAGCGAGTACCGCAAATGGAGGGCAGAGTCCACGTACGAGGACATTCTCCACGAGCTCGAGCTCGGAGGTGGTGTCCGGGACTCAGGGGTTCAGTTTGCTGCGCGCAATACCTGGTATTCAGGTGTCGAACGACCGTCAACGGGCCAGATCCCTGTCATCTGTGCCCGACCTGCACGCTTCGCATGAAGCAATTGCGATCCCGCCAAATTCGCAGAGCTATGAGGCGTCGGCGGCCGCAAGTCCGGACACAGACTCTAGTTCCAACGAGGACGCAGGCCCCGTGGCTGGCACTTCCTTGTCCCTGGGCAGGGTATACGCGGCTCACTCCTTGCCTTCACATATCTGGTCTATAAATGGTGAGTACAAAAATTATTTTAATACACAATGTACTTAATTAATTTACAGCCATGCTTCTATTTTATGAACTGAAGAATCACAGCAAGTTTTTAATTTGACTTTAATATAGTTAAGGCTTATGAACCATATATTTGAGTTACAGAACTATATTGAAACATCAATTACACCATCAGGGCCAAGCTGGCATATTCAAATATGGAACCACTTTAAAAATATTCTAAGAAACATTTAAAAAAATATATATACATTGTAGATTGTCTATGCCCTGTTATTATTTTTGTACTGTGATGAATATATAGACTGCAACATTGTTTATGTCTATTTGTAGTGATGATTTGTTGGAAGTGAAAAGTTGTACCAGTGCTTTTAAATTGCATTTAATATATTTGTAATTAACATATAGTTTTGGGCAATGCCAGTAATATTATAGTCTTATATTTCTAACTTAAGAGTAATCATACAGAATTGGAAGACTGTTGAGGTGGAAAACTGTAACAAACAAAATCTGAGTTGTCAGATTAAAATTAAGTGAAACGGATAGATAAATAAATTCTTTATTCACAATTATACACACATAGCATACATGAGATACAGAAAAAACATGAATTAATAAAAGAAATAAAATACATAATAATATTCGGAAAACTTTGAATTATGTCATCGTTGTTTATCATGAGTCCTTGGATCTCTGCCTACCACATAAAAGATTTTTTTTGATAAGTGGATAATAATTACCAAGGACAGTTCTGACAGCATCAGCTAGTCCCAAGCTAAGCAGAGCTTGTGTTATGAGTACTAGATGACTGATATAAATACTTAAATACATTGTTTATATGTAAATACATATTATACATAGAAAACACCCAGATCAATATAAACACTCATACCCTTGAATAGAAATACTTGTACTATGTAAAGAATCGAACCTAAAACCCTCAGAAGCAAGAGGTGTGTTAAACCAGTAGATTACCAAGGTAGATGTTTATAGAATAAAATAAGAAGTGTCCAATCTTATATGTGACAATCAAAGTTTTCTTATTTGGGAGTAGCTGTACTTGTGACTTCATCCGTGTGGAATTTAACTTTATTTTTCTAAAATAAAAGTAGCCTAAGTTACTGCTTATTACATTACCTACCTGTCAATAAAAGTCCCATCAAAATCGGTCCAGCCATTTCAGAGATTAGCCCGAACAACAGATAGGCAGATGAAAATTGTAAAAAATGTTATTTTGGTGTATGTACCATATTTATATTCATATGCATATGGTAAAAAACTGTTATTTCAATATTACAAACAGACAGACACTCCAATTTTATATATTATATGTATAGATTAAGAAACTTTGATTTTAATTGCAAATTCTATTAAATAGATAGGATTTGTTTATACAATTTGGGGTATCCCATTGTAAAAACAGTTTTTGCTTTTAAGATTATAAATTAATTCTGTTTAAATTATACATAATTACAGCACCCTAGTCTTAATTATTATATAATAATATCTATTAATATAATTAATGAATAATCTATATACATATAAATAAATTTGGAGTGTCTGATTGTAATATTGAAATAACTGTTTTTACTATATGCATATGAATATAAATACGGTACACATATCAAAATAACATTTTTAAAATTTTAGCCTGACTGTTTGTACCGGCTAATCTCTGAAATGGCTGGACCAATTTTGACGGTACTTTTTTGGCAGGTAACTGATGTAATAAGGAGTAACTCAGGCTACTTTTATTTTATAGTAGAAAAATAAACTAACCACACAGACGAAGTTGCGGGAACAGCTAGTATATAATATACTAGATCTGCCCATGGTTTCACCCATGTAAAATTTCAATAAAAATATGGCCTATATGTTATTCTGATGCATAAGCTATATGACTGTAAAATTACATCAAAATCCATTCAGTAGTGTTTGAAAGAGTAAGAATATGGATAATCACAAACTTTTGTGCTTATAACATTATTAAGATAAAGATTATTTTTTTACCTCTTTGTGGAGTAAATTCATAAAAGTGAATGCTCAAGAGCTTACCAATTATATTATATTTTCTGTACCTTTTTTTTATACCCTGGTCTGATTTCTTTTTTATGGATGCCTGAAACACCAGTGGTGTAATCTGACGGTAAACAGTTACCATAGCCTATGGACACTTGATACACGGGGGTCTCACATACATGTGACCAACCCTAAATGTGTTCTAATGAATTTTATAATACAATATAAATAATATACAGTTTTTTAAGGAAAAGTGCAATGTAGTTATGTGATTTTCATGGGTGAGCCTACGTCCATTTACAAAAAATTGTGTTACAAAATGAAAACAAACTTTGTAGTTCTATACTTATGACCGACTCTCGGGTGAAGGAAACACCCATAACAAAGAAAAGTATTATGCGATTGGCGGCGGTGACTAGTCCATCAAAGCAGGCCGTTGTCTTCAAAGGTCGCGACTGGCGGTGCATGTAGGTAGGTTGTTGTCTTCAGTCAGTAGGTTTAAAATATACCTACCGAAATGTTGCTATAACAAGTTGTTTTTCTCATGATATCAATTATTGTAATTTTTTTAATGGATTATAATGGTATACCTAACGGTCTGGTACCTTTGGCGGGGTATCAGTGAAGGATGATAAGATGAACATGAGGTTAGGTTAGTTAGCTCATCATGACATTTTCACCAGGATATTATCACGATGGTTTCCAGGGGGAACCATGTGGAGGTCAATCTAACATGGTACATTGCTAGTAATGGTGTTAGCCTTCATTTCTAACAATCCCCTCACCCCCCTGTTGGTGAAGACTATTAATTAGCATAGGATAATTCAATATGATCAGTAACAGGTAAAATTACATTTATCACGGGGAGTGATCTGAGGAATTGTTCTGATTAATTGTGAATAGCTTTGACGTGGTCTGGTGTTTTGAGTAGTCGTGCTCACTAAAATGTCCAAACTTGTGACGGCGGCCGGGTCATTGGGCTCCCTAAAATATGGTCGAGCGTAGCAATGGCTGGCTGGCTCATCCGTCATACTCGTGAACGGGTGCAGCTTGTGTGGACTGGTCTGCTCTAATCACTATGACTTATTTCCTCTTATTAATTGTTTAACCAGTCGTTGTGTATTGAATGTTTTTTTTATTTTATTATTTCATTGAATTAGTGCTAATCGGTAGTTTGTATTCACACACTTAAACTTAAATTGTAAGTAAGAATAAATTATTTAAAAGAGCAACACACAAGTTTCTTGCTTGTACTTCTTGTGATGAGACAGCATTCCGAATGAGCGGTAGATTAAAAAAATGTAATGACTATTCAAAAGTGCTTCAATGTAAGTTTATTTGTATTACCTGCTGAGTTTCGCCAACGTACGGCCCGCCAGACACTAAAATACCATCCTGGTCATCTGGATGAATGGCGGTCCTCCACAGTGCGGTTTTCTAGAAACTTTTTGCCACGCACAACCACATTGTGGAATCACCTTCCAGCAATGGTATTTCCGAACCGATACGATATTGAAACCTTCAAGAAAAGAGCTTATTCGTTTTTAAAAGGCCGACAACGTGCTTGCAATTCCCAAGGCGTTGCGGGTGTTCATGGGCGGAGGTAATCACTTACCATCAGCTGAGCCACATGCTTTTTCGTCCCATGTTATAAATTTAATACATCTTGCTAAAATAAATAAATGAGTTAAAATTAAGTGTAAACCTATTGCTATAAAAAATATACTGTAGTATATGAAAGCGTTCTGATCTCGTTGACTCTGACACGTACACGTACGTTGGTTCGTCTAGCGATTTTCGTGTACCATAATAAATCGGGACCGCTTTTCCGGGTTGCCGGTGCGCCTACGCAAGCTTTTCAGTTCAGTCGCATCCGTGCCGCCGTTCTGTTAACACCGTATCATGTACCGTCGACGTTACCGCACCACCCTCGGCCTGGGGCTGGGCTCCTCGTTCTCGTCCACGTTTTCCACCACGCTGTCCTTCAGGACCACCACTACGAGTACAGCAGCGGACAGTGTGAGGTCGGACGCGCGCGCCACCGCCGCGAAACTCAAATCCAAGTATGAAAATGCCGGCACAGCACAAGGTGCGTTAAATGACATTTGACAGAGTTCTGCAGGTTTTTAGGGATAATAATAGAATAGAATAGAATAGAAAATCATTTATTCAAATATACTTACATTGAAGCACTTTTGAATAGTCATTACATTTTTTTTATCTACCGCTCGTTCGGAAAGCTGTCTCATCATAAGGAGAACGAGCAAGAAACTTGCGTGTTGCTCTTTTAATGGAATGGTGCACCCGTGCTATTGTGTACGCTGGCGGGGCATCAGTGGAGGATGATAAGATGAGTATGATGTCAGGTCAGTTAACCCATCACTGGGAATTTTTCACGATGATTTCCAGGAGGAACTGCGTAGAGGCATCTCGACAGGTACCCTGCAATTGCTAGCAATAGGGTCAACGGTCCACATTACTAACAATAAATGTGTTATTTATACTAACATTATAATATATGAAGTGTTTGTTTTTGTTTAAATCATAAACCTCAGGAACTGCTGGAAAAAAAATATCAGTGTTGTATATCCTATTTGTTGATGATGGACTGGAACATTGGTGATCCGCTCAGTTTACGACCAATAGCATATCATCAATGAAAAATGTTATGTTAATAAACGGGAAAAATATAAGATAAATAGAATAGAAATAGCAATTATTGAAATAAACTTAATATAAGCAGTTTTGAATATATTTTTTGATCCAACCGCTCATTCTGAAATCAGTCTCATTACAAGAAGAATGAGAAAGAAACTTGCGTGTTGCTGTTTTAAATAAATATTGTTCCACTTATTTAGGATTTTTTTACTTGCGCGTTGTACATATATACATACATATAAATATAATTGGAGTGTCTGTTTGTAATATTGAAATAACCGTTTTTTACTACATGCATACATTTACTATATGAATATAAATACGGTA